TGTGTGTGTGTTGGTTTTTTTTTTTTTTTTTCCCCCCCCCCCCCCCCTTCTACATGATCATAATCTACCAAAGAGAAATCAGGTTGAGTAAGGCCAAGAGTTTTACCCATAGTGTTCAGTCCACTCTTGTTTGACTGTTTTATTTAGATGACCTCTTCTGAATTAGTTTTGTGCAGACAAATCTGGTGACCTTTTTTAAGCTCATCTTTTCACAGAATTATTGCACCAGTGGTGCAAAATGAAAAGAAGAACGGAGGTTCTAGCCTCCTCTTCTCCAGCATCTCTTAGGACTTTTGTCTTTAAAGTGCAGCCTATGGATTTGAAATGGAGAGGACAGTGGTCTGTGTGCAGATGAAACCTTCACTTTGCACCTTCACACATTGGGATATTAAATTCATAGTGAGATTGCTAAGGTAGTGTCTTGGCTGTTGTGTCGCAAAATATGGTGAAATCACTATGTGTGATAAATAGAAGAATTCAGCTGTTTACTGCCAAGATATTGAATATGCCAAGATCTGTATCCATGTTACTAGAAATTTTATAGAAAACTGTACAAAATATATCTCAGCAGATCTCAAAGCTGATTGTTCAAGGTAAGACAATGTAGGCCTGAGGACCTGATTTTTAAATGCCAATATTTACTTGAAAAGATTGCACTCCAGTGCTATGATAAAATTATTATTAATTGTTAACAAAATTAAAGTTTCCTAGCAAATTCCTTGTAACACAAAAAGGTATGTATTTAATTTGATAACAGCTGCTAAATTCCTTAACTTAAATTTTCCATTCCATTTTTTCTGGAATAATCAATGATTTTACGTGGTATCTCACTGCCTCCCCCTTCCACATCTAGATGCTAACAAAGCCAGCGGAGCTTCGCTGCAAGTCAGCTGGCACATTTTTCCCAAATCTCTTCGTAGTGCAGAAGAACACAGGAGGCACTGTTACAGCTGCATATTGTCTTGGGAACAAAAAACTACAGCTAAGAGGAATGAAGAGAGCTCTGACTCTTTCTTTTGTGCAATGTCCTTAAAGTACTAGGGCAATGAAGTCTGAAGAAAATCTATTTAAAGAAAAAAAGCTGACATGAAAATGAACGGCAGTCACTACTGGAAGTTAAAGCATGGGCCAGTCTTAGCAGATCCTAAAATGGGCTGATGTTAACTTCAGTTTAGTCTGTGTGCCAGATTACATTCAGGTATTGTAGCATTCCTTGCATTTCTGAGTAGATGTTAGTACATATTGCTTCTCATTTAGAAGTGAGAAGCAAAAAAAGTAATAGCACTAAGCTGAAGTAGACATCTTTTCTGGATGTGTTTATCACTTCTCACAACTACTTCTTTATACTGTATGTTATTTTGTTTATCCAGTTTGATTATGTTTTCCTCTCTTTTCTGCCAAATTCATCAGCTTATATTTTTCAGCTATGACATAGCAAAACTTTTACATTAACTGCAAAGCAAGAGAGGTATTGAAGAAAGTTGCAACACTGTGGTGACTTTAAAGTGGGTTTTTTTTTCATATGTTTATGCAAATATCTGTGGTGGCCTGAATACTGGAAACTCAGATTTACATTTTCAAGTAAATGCATGTAGCTCACCTGCATGGCTGAGGCAGTCAGGTAAATTACCGTAAGGAGGAGTATTGACTTGAAGCTTGTTTATTTTAAAGTAGACAGGTTTCTGTCCATGGATGATAGCAGTATACACTGATGGCTGTACAGACACCTCTTCTGTGTGCCTTCAGCAACAAAATTCCATTTAATAGAAACCCTAACTTGCCTAGGCATGAAGATGCGCAGTGAAGGCACAAAAACATCAGCTTTCATCTGCTGTGTAATAAAACTGTGAAATAATTGTTATAATTGCACCATTCTGATATTTGTGGGCCCAGACTAAACTAATTTCAAAGGCATGGTTTTAATAACACAGTTTCCCTTGTCCCACAGTATTTCTAAATACAAAAAAAGGTGTACTGTTAATATCAGTATTAAGCTGGGGGATGGTTTTTGGTTTTTTCTCCTCTTCCAACTGCAGCCACACAGGTCTTTCTAGCCTTGCTTTGTAAGGCACATCTCATGAGGGACACCTGAGATCAGCAGACTCCACTTCAGAGCACTCTCCATTTCCCTCAGGGCAGTAGAACGTATCTGCAGCTGTTACATGGTTTCTACAGAGAATACTATCGGATAAAACAGAAGGTTGTGCAGCCTGCAGTGAAGCATTTGTGACTTTCCCCAGTAATACTACTCAGTACAAAGCAATGTTTACAGCAGTGTAATGCAGCAGTTTTAATTCTGTCATGGACTGTTGTATTTGAATATTATTTTTAAATAAATGCATGGATGATAAATGTTACCAAGTATTAACCATAAACAGGATAGACTTATTTATGGTACACTGTTATAATGACTATTTCTGGAAGATGGTCACAGAATCACAGAGTAGTTGAGGTTGGAAGTGACCTCTGGAGGTCACCTTGTTCAGCCCCTCTCCTCAAGCACGGTCACCTAAAGCAAGTTGCCCAGGACCATGTCCAGATGGCTTTTGAATATCTCCAAGGACGGAGATTCCACAACGTCTGTGGGTGAACTGTTCCCATGCTCTGTCACCCTCACAGTGCATAATTTAATCAAAAATCGTTTGCATTGTTAGTAAAGGTAAAATTGTTCATGCATTTGAATATTTATTTGCTCAGAAGATGTCATTAATATGACACAGCAAAGCCAGGCAGCATGAGATTTGTAGTTCAGCTGAGAAGGGGATAGTGTATTTAATGACTAAAGAAATCATTCTCTGCTTTGATTTCTAACTTGCTGAGTATTAGGAAGCTAGGAAAACAAACATAAATGGAAGAAAATATGAGCAAGTCAGAAGGATACTGACCTGTAAATTTTAATCTGAAAGCATAAATGCTTTAGTAGCAAATCACAGTATTACAATTATACTCTACCAAAGGAGGTCCCTTTCTAAGACAATTCAGGCCAGAGAAAAAAATGCCTAGGAATTTTTCTAAATCAGGATGTAAATTTTGCAAGATCCATGCCTACAAAATCTTTCACTTCATAAAGTACAGATATTCACAACTTTAGTTAAACTGGCATGAGATTTTGGGTAGTATGCTGTAAGTGGCAGACTGATAACATCATCTAATTTCATTTTTGGAAAATTAACAAGTTACAGATGTTTTACTCATCCTAATGAGTAAAAACATGGGGAAAACAGTAAAAAATGTAGTATGCTTATTCAGAAAATGCATGTTAATTTTATTAACCGCTCTTCAGACCTGTCTTATACATTGTTTGGTAAACTAATGAAATCATAATCTCTTCCATAGTTGCTTGACTCTGAGAGGAAACTTAAATCCCATACAACATCTTTAGTTCCCTAAACAATGCAGGAAACATATTAGTGAAAGGAAACATGGTCTCTTGGGGATGGGGTGGAGGGTGAGGGAAGAACAACCAAACACTAAATCTACATACATTCTTTCTCTTTTTCCATTTCCATTTCTTCCCAGAATGTTATACAGCAAATGGGGCTGACTATCGTGGCACTCAGAACCAGACCTCCCAATATGCAGGGAAACCTTGTCTTTTTTGGAATGAGACCTTTGAGCATCCTTATAATACTTTGAAATATCCCAATGGGGAGGGAGGGCTTGGAGAGCATAACTACTGCAGGTAAGCAATATCTCATTGCTACTAACATTGCCTATATGCCCAGTGTTACTTTAAACAGTTGATACAAAATTAGGAAACTTCCTATCATACACTGAAGAATGTCAGAACCATGGATATCTAACAGGTTTTGTTTTATCCTGTAATCAGTACCCTGGATCTACAAGCACCATTAGTAGAATAACTTTTTCAACCCAGCTCTCACCCGAAGTCCATATCATATATCCAGTCTGTAATTTGGCCTGACAGAGAAAGACTAGAGATTACTTAAATGAAAAGGTGGAGATAAAAAAATTGATCCAAGTCAGAAGTACAGAAGCACTAGTGAATGACTGTAGGAGTCTTTGGAACATTATGGTTTTTATCCTCACCCACAAGCCTGGTTCTGTTATATACTATGTTTCTGAGGTTTGTGCTAATGAAAGTTAATGTAGTCACTAAAAATTCTCAGTGAGCATAGCATAAGCTGTTCAGTTACTTAGAGTTGTCATTGGAATTCAGAAGCTCTGCTGTCAGTGGTTACTATACCAGCTTAAACCATGGCAGATCCTCTTTCATTTCCTTGCCTTCTAGAGAAGACCTCCATATCTATGGATAGAACTTGAACAAAACTTAAATAAGAACTTCAGAATTTAGGAGCCACATAAGAACCTAAATTCAGGGGTGTTTAGGCTCTGCAGGCTCTTTTCAGCTTGCAACATTTAACTGCTTGATGTTGTGCATCTGGAAGTTACATGGACTTCTGCCTTTGTAGGACTGACCAGCTAAGTTTTTATGCCCATCTATACTTGCTATGGAAATAGGTAGGGAATAACCTGGTAGATACATTCCTTGAACAGTGATAATCATCAGCTCATCTAGGATGCATATAACATTGAGTGGTGTCTCTTACTCACTCGGTAATGGGGACAAAGATGTTTAAACCAAGAGATTAAGAATTGAGTTACCGAGGGCATAGCAAGAAAAGCTCTAATGTCTCCTTTGTGAGAAGGTTCAAACCACACCTCAATTCTCCTGGAAGATGCTTTTACTTAACAGGTTATAGACTTTCTAGGGTAGAGCTTATACACTTGCCACCTTCATGTTTAAATCATTTCACTGTAAGCAATATAAATCAGAATAAATGAGGCAAAATTAATATGCAGGAGTTCAGCACAACTGCTATGTCACGAACATAGGCTCCTGGTTCTTGATCCAAGAACTTTTCCATACTTAATCAGAAACAGTCATTCAAGAAAATATGACACACAGAGACAGCCAGTTAATGGAGAGTAAGTAAGAAAGCACACAAAAGAGCTCTTGTGACATGCAGCAGATAGATGAGCACATTGAAAGGAGTCAGTGGCATTTCCAGAGTATTTGATGACTCAGGAGGATATTTCTCATTGAAGAACAGGGTGAAGGACAGGGAAGAAAAAGACTTACTCGGGATGTTTTCCAGTGGCTGCAGCAGTGCTTCAAAATAACACTGTTCAATGTGTTGCACCAGGGGACTGTTTTCAGCTGTAGAAGGAGAATGCCAAGTTCTGAACTGACTCTCTTTTGAATCAGTTCAGCATCTTACAGGAGCAAAGAAAAATACACCACCTACCAGAAAAACTCCATAGAAGTTGAGCATTCTCTTTAGAAAATGGCCTGGAAACCAAATAAACCCATCAAGCTGTCTAGTATCAGATTGGCATGTGAACACTGGAAGGACTGTCTTCCCATCAAAACCATTTCACACCAACTTCACAGCCTCCCTCAGCCCAACACCACCAAATGTGTAACAATTTTCATGACTTGTGGAGAGCTGTGTCTCTCATTATGCATACTAATATGGACCTATAAAAAAGCTAGTGGCCACTGAATTATCTCTGATACAAATAGCAGAATCAAGAACTTAGTTTTGATTGTTGCTGTGTGGCAATATCCTAAGTAGACTGTATCTACAGGGTCTTACTTTTGGCAGTCATCTCTGGCTAATACTTAGGTTAGTACAAAGCAAAACATGTACAAGCTATGCAAAAATGTGCATAACAAACTGAATGTTTATCCAGGTATTCAAGTCATCCTTACTAGAGTCTCACTTTACTTAGCAAATGAGAATTTGGTAAGTGTTACAAGGAGCAAGAAACCCATAATCTGGTATGTAAGCCTGAGAAATGACTTGATTACCAAATACAGCTTTTTAATCTCAGTCTGCTAGGTATTAGATTATCCTCTTTGAGATGGAGTTTGACTGGAAGGCTAGCCATTTCCTTCCTTATGCTATATCACTTGGCCCAGGAATATTCTCAATGGTGTATGAAATGATGATCCTAACGAACGGATGCTTTTTAACTTCACATTCTGTTGAAAAAAAGCTTGGAAAGTCACTGTTCTAAGAATGTCAGAGCATATCTTTAGCATGCAAATCTTGTTGAGGCCTTGTGAGTGAAGATACTGCTGTTTTAGCTCTTTCTCTGCATTCATTTGCTTGGTGACTATGGGCAAGTTGATCTTCCATTCTCTAAGGCAACACATATCTCACAAGGCTTTTTTAAGGCATAATACATTACTTTGAGGCTCAGTTTTAGGGACAGCATTTGAATAATCCAATTTTACACTTAAAGCATTAATCAGAAGCATGTTATCTCTCTATGGGTGGTCCTTACTTGGAATATTTTGTTTACTGCAAGATGCCCTGTTAAGATGGGAATGCCTCATAATGTTCCACTAAACCTCATTTCAGCCATAACAAAATTATGCAGACTGAAGTTTTTGGAGATTTTGAACGACACTCCATTGTTTTCTAACTGTATGCGCTTTTGAGGTTCAAGGCAAAGATTTCTAAAGACCTTAATCACATTTGTCTGCAATTTCTTTGCATTTTAAGGCATTCATGTCTGGAGTGCCATTACCATGATTCAAGTACAGATACCTGATTTGTGTCATGCAGGTGTAAACCAAAAATTTCCTGTAACTGTGAAAACAAGGAAAATTGTGTTATTTCAAGTACAAGATTTCCTTGATTTGAGTCTTCTACTTTCTTTAGCCACTGCCTTTACACCTAAATTCCTAGCACACCGGTCTTAGGCTTTCCTCATCCACTACTTTTACTAGTCTGTTTGAAAGCCTAACTAGCAGCATTTTAGTCAGCTAAATTGAACTCAACTCACCAGTTGTCTTCAGCATTCTGTTATTTGACCAAAAACCATCCCCAAGAGTTCTCCCACAAAGAGTTGTTAATATGCCCCAATGACAATGTGCAACTGAACTGACACTTCTATGTAGGAGGGAGTCATTATTAGAATTCATGTCAAAGTACATGATAAAAAGATTGCAGCTGGCCCTAGTTATATGTAAAGGTCATAGTTCAACCTGACTGTCCAAAATAACAATTTATTTTCTTACCAATGTGAATAGTTTTTCAAAGTGTACATAGAAAAAACTTTAAATAACCTAATGACTAATTAGGTATGCATTTGTAAATGATGCTACACAACAGCAAAGAATAATCATGGACACATAAGGAATTATCCCATCTGTCAATATATCAGATCCCTTGAACAGATTTATTCAGCTTTACTGAAGGGGAAGAAAAGACCTCAGTCTTTCCCAGAAGACTTTATCAGATAAATGTTTTTGTCGTCATACATACAGAAAGTTGGAGTCTGGACTATTTTGTACCAAGGCAAAAATTAAGTTCAGGAGTCTAAAGAACCTGTATGCAGGATATGTGGCTGAAAATCTTCCTCTCTGTCAGTACTGTCCAGAAGTACCTCTGTACCTTTTAGACTTAAAGAAAGAAGAAGTTATGTTTTAGACATTCCTAGCAATTTATGCTTGCTGTGTACTGTAATAACCAAAGTTATCTGAACTTCCTGGCTACTTTGGCATTTTTCTTGGTATACAAATCCAACGGGTTAAATATTCAATAGGTATTAGAGCAAAAATAATGATGACACTGAAGCTTAATAAGATTTATTTTTATGTGGTTTTTGAAAATATTTGATGACTTCTCACTCACTCTCTCTATTTTTCTCTTTCAGGAACCCTGATGGAGATGTCAGCCCCTGGTGCTACATTGCAGAGCATGAGGATGGAATATATTGGAAATACTGTGAGATTCCATCCTGCCGAAGTAAGAGCACCATGCAGTTTTTTAGGCCTGCATCTCTGTTGAACAGGGATTGGCAGTTATACAACAACGGGTAGTGACTTTCAAACAGAAACTAGGATAAGGCAAATCAGTTTATTTTCATTTGCAGACTAAGCAGTATTTTAAACAGGTCTCTAGAGTTAATGACAAGCTTACTGAATCATTCCTCCATTGCTATCCTTCTCATCTCATCTCAGAATTACCGGATTATATTATTTACAAATAATACCAGACAGAGAATCACTAAAAACTCATGAAGTACTGCTATTTTTTTGAATCCATAGAAATATGTAATTTATTTATTAAAATCTAGAGGACAAAAATGAATAGGAAATTATTAATTACTTTTTTTACAAGGTACATATGTGTCCATCATTTGCAATTAGCTTGTAAAATGGATGGCAGTAGTTCCATGTGTATAATACATCATGCACAGAATTGCTTGGAAGAAATAAAGACAGTATGAGAGGACATAGAGAAAACATGGCTATTTGTTTGGTATATGGGAGCTCTGGGCTAGAATTCTATCCTTGCAGGTGCATATACTTAGCATTGCTGTGAAACCACAAACTGGACTTTGTTCGATTTTTTTTTAACATATAATTCACCAGCTATTCACCTGAAGCTTCCTTCCAGTATTAAATATTTTTAATGTATTATATATTATTTACCTTGTCCAAAATGTGGAGGTTTTGTCATGATTCATGTCAATGTGTTCCAAAATTTTCATTCCTGAACACTGCAGGATAAACTCCTAAAAATCACATTCTTTAAAATATGCCTAAATATTAAAAAGATATTCCAGTTTTGCTTGTTAACAAGCAACCATAACTACACATTTTATTAAGTCTAATCATTAATGCCTTTACTTGCTTTCCTAACTTCTGTGCAAGTACTCTCTTATTTCTAAGCGATAACTTATGTGCATACTGTTAAGCATCAGAGCAGTTGTCCTTACATAGGCATACTCTTGATTAGAAGAAATCCACAGTTTTCTTTCTTTATGAATGTGAGTGAGTGATTCACATCTTCAGCCTAGGCAAACAAATACATAAGTGTGACCTTAAGTCAGGTGACTTCTACCTAGACTTAAATACAGATAAAGGAGTCTAATTTAAATAACACAAAATCATTCAACAGTCTGATACTCATTGTTCAGAGGACATCTTACTCATTTTTCTAATATACCAGGTCTTATTTAGGAAACATGACCCTCCTAATTAAGAAATTTATCTTGGTCTACAATGAAAGAATTTGCATTTTCTTTAAAGACCACAGATGTTAACAAATTCTCTGGATATGGCACCAGTAAAAAAGCTGAATGGCAAATTCTCTCCACTCCATTTGTTCTACACAAAGGATTCTTTTAAAACCAGCCTCGCTCATTTTCTCTGTGGTGGGGAGCAGAGTATTTAAACTTGGACACTTACTTGCACAGATAATCCAGGCTTATATTTGCAAAATGTCCTTTTGACCAGTAGCAGCTGCTTCAAGCATTGCACTGAAACTGGATACCAGAAAAAGGAATTGCAGCAATTTAGAACAAACTGTACATTGCAAGCCTATCCAAGTCTTAATACAAACCTCATGGTTTATGAAACTGTGTAAGTATAAAATAACTTTTATTCTTTACCAGATTTTCTGTTTTCAGTAAGCAGGATGCTAAATCACAGGACCATCAAAACCAACTTGTGAAGTGCATAATACAAAACTGAGTTTTGAGATGGAACAGGAAAAAATTGTGTAAAGAAATCCTATTTGACATTTTTAGAGAAGTAAAAAAATTGTTTTATATAAGCTTCTTTTCCATAATTATATTTACTACTCAAAAAGCCGAGTATCTGGAGCATAATTTACCTATAAACTATATCCACATAATACCACTACAATGCTGACAACATGAAGCATCTTGATTGCCTAGAGAGATTTGCATGCAATGATTCACTGTAACAATAATTAAGAATCTACAGTTAAGAATTTTTTATTACAATGATGATTTCACATGATTAAATCATGTGTCTCATTCACTAATATTTATATTTAACACTGTTTCATTCAGAAATGTGTTCTGGCATTCTGCAGACATGCTATACAGAATTTAGCAATGTTAGATGAGGATGGATGGGCATAATCACAGAAGACAGTGGTAGTTACCCCAGTAGGAGCTTAGTCTTTCCTTTTCTTCCTCTCCTCTTCTTAATGGCTTGTCTGCTAAGCAGACTGGAATGGGCATAAACAAAATAAAAGGCAAGAAGGCAGCACTGAGTCCTGAAAGAACATGTGCATCTCACATGGAGAATTCAGAACTGAATGCTTTAGATGGTTTGTTTGCAATGTTGCAGCTATTCCTGACTTTTTTGGTTGTCACTACCCAGGCTGGACAGACCAGGGAGTCGTGTTTAATTCAAAATTCCCTCGGGCTAAATTAAGGTGAAACGACACCAAATGATCAGTTAAAGATTTTATTCATGACGGAAGCAAACTGAACTGGGGAGGTGTGGTAGTAGGTGGCAGGGTTTCTCACAACAGAAATTGGCATAAGACTACTTCTGTAAACTGTGTAACCATATACATCAATTCAGGGAATAAGGAGACCCCCCCAAACCAGTCAGGTTAATGAACAGTTTGTGAGCCTTTAGGCTTGGGGGTCATTTGTGGAGTAACTTCTTCCCTGCAGACACTGCCATTGTTTGATCTTTGTATCAGAACAGCTTATCAGAACAGGGAGCTGCGCACCCTCCAGCACGCCCTCCCCCACCTGTTGCTGATGTCTGAGCTGATGGGCTTTTCACCTTGGTTCCTTGCTGTGCAGGGTTTGTCTTTAAGCAGAACTTGCCCCACCACAATGTTTGAGACATTAACTCTTTCAGCCTCTCAAATCGGTGTCTTTGTTAAAGAGGTTAAGTTGAAATTCAAAAGAAGTAACAACTTACGCACACCAAAGGTCAAAGAAAGTCTTACTGTTCCACTTAATTGCATCTCCATATTTATGGCCCACTTGAATCTCTTACCATAAACAGATTTCATTACTGAAATCATATTTCCTGTGTGCATGTATGTCATGTAATAAATTTGAGTGAAATATACTGCTGCATACTAGCATTGCAAAAAGCTAGGAGGCTTTTGAAGGACAGCTAGGTGAGCATAGCTGGAACATGGGTTTGAGCTCAAAAGGATGAATTCCATGTTTTAATATATATACCTTAACATGTAATATGCAGAAGTTCTGGTGTTTGCCAGGACCTCATTATGTCAGATGCTGCTTAAAAGAAAAAGAGCATGCTTGCACAAAAGAGATAGCCTTTTAAGCACAAGAGAACAAATAGATACAAATGGGTGAAGACAAAGTAACAGTAAGACATCACTGATCAGCATGAACAGTAATCACAGAATATTGACTACCTCATTTTTGCCAAGCTTCTTTAGTAGGATAAACATTAAGAGCAAATTAAGGCAAAAGAATATGTTGGGAATTTTTAAAGGTCAGAGTAACTAAACAGTCACCACCTAGCTAGAAATACTTTTGATTCTTCATTGCTTTATATATATATATATGTACATACATATATATATATATATATAGTTTTATACATACACATAGGGTTGTAGGGTACCCTAGGTTGGAAAGCTGTCATCTAGTCCAGCCTCCTGCTCAAAGCAGGGCCAGCTCTGAGGTCAGACCAAGTTACTCAGTTTGTCAGATTAGACCAAGTTTATCCAGTCAGGCCATGACAGCCTCCAGGGACGCAGAGTGCGCTCCCTCTCTGGGCCCTTGTTCCCATGCTTGACTGCCAGCATGGTGAAAATATTTTCCTTAACATCCAGCCTGAACATCTCATGTTTCAACTTAAGCTCCTTACCTCTTGTCCGAAATGCATCACTGTGAAGACCCTGGCTCCATCGTTGTGACAGCCTCCATGTCGGTGTTGCAAAGCTGCTAGGGAGTACCCCTGAGGCCTTCTCTTCTGCAGGCTGAACAAGCCCAAATCCCTCAGCCTCTTCTCAGAGGCTGCATCTCCTCTGAGCATCTTGGCTCTCTGCCAAACTCACTCCAGTCAGTCAATGTCTTTCTTGCACTGGTGGCCCCAAAACTGGACATAGTAGTCTTGATGTGGTCCTAACAAGTGCTGAGTAGAGGAACAATCTAATACAGGCCTGTTGGCTGCCTTTGCTGCCCAGCACACTCCTGGCTCCCTCTCTATCAGGAGCTCCAGGACCTTTTCTGCAGAGCTGCTCCACATACATAAATGTACACTGTCTTGTTTTAGCTTTATGTTGAGTGGCTCCCTATGCACACATCCTGATTCAGTTTAATATAGTGTGAATGAGAAGCATATTATTCTAATATACTAAAAATATTGTTGAAAAAGCAGTAATTTGTGATCACCGTGGATCTGATATAAAAGCAGTGTTTGCTAATTAGTTCTTCTCCAACTCAGATTACAAACATCGCCCCTCTACTATTATGCCTATACTATGTACTCTGATAACCCTTCAGCAGCAACTCAGTGGTGTCTTAGGTTTAGGACCAGCCCATCAGTAGCCATGGGAAGAACTGGCGTATCAAAATCATATATGCATGTACAGGAGTAATTTTTTTGTGTGTGTGTTGTCCCAGTTCAGAAGAGCATTTAGTTATATATTTGTTGTGGGACTACTAAAGTGCTTGTAGCTGAGCATATATCCTTGGGCTCATGTAGTTCGTTGATTTGATACCAAAGTAATTTGAAGAGCTGGGCACTGGCATGGAAATTACTGTTCACTATTGGGCTAGACTGATGCTTCTCCTGTTTATTCCCAATCAAATGACACTAATTTTGTTTGCTAGATAGATAACAAGGATGTTAAAATACTGCTGGGACACGGAAGAGACTAACTAGCTTTAGGATATACCCAAATGCTATGCTTGGTTTAGTTGCAAAATGTAAGAAGTTTTCAAATTGCTCAGTCTGGTTTCTTAGCATGGAACATACTGAAGTACTAATCCTCTAGAGACAAGATTGAAGGGTCTCACTTAAAAAAAAAAAAGTGTTTTTAGGAAATCCCAGGTGTTCTAGGAAAATGAGCTAGGTTAGTTAACAAGGAAGCTTTTTCAGGGCAGTGAAATCATGCACTGTACAAAAAATTCAGCTCACCGAGAGTTATCTGCCCAGCTGTACTCAGCTGGGGTGGGGCTACAAATGGGGATTTCCAAAGGTATGTTAAATCAGGCTGTAACTTGAAGTCTCAGTACTTACAAGCATGTTGCTGCAGGACATATCAAAGCCATAACTTCATGCAAGCATTTATAATTGAAATTGTATCATTCTGAGAAAACAAAATTATTTTATGAACAATATTTGAAGCAACATTATCTAATTATTCAAAAAATATACATACTTGAATTTTCTTCCCAACTTCATTAGTTCTTCTTTATAATGCTAGAATCATCCTCCTTGAGAGTATAATCATATACATGCCAGTATATTTGCTGGTCACTAATAGATACACTAGCCCTCTTCCTCAAAATGAGGAAGCTGCCATAGGCAACATAGCCTAAGTCTGGGAGCAAGTTCTCAGACAGACCTGTTAACTGTTCCAGATGTCAGGATGATTTTAACGGTAAGCTGACATCAGTTTACAAGCTCAGTATATAATATTCCAAAGGAATAGGGATGAGACCATCTTTGTTAGAATTAGAAAAACAGAAGTTCTAAATTCAAGGCATTATTTCAATGGCTGCTGCACATGGACATGTATAAGAAATCCCAGAAATGGGCCTTCCAGAATCCAGTGAAGAGATACTTTCAGGACTACTGTACAAGACTGCTCAGTCCAAAAAGCTTCATTGCATTCCTATTGTATTTATAGGAATATACATAGAATAATACAGAAGCAGTTTACTAACACACATATTATCTGATAGAGAAAAGGGCCCCCTGTATAAGAGATGGCTAGTTCAAAAGGAGCCCCAAAAGGAGCCCCAAAACAGTTAATCCACATGCTATCAGGCATCAGAGGCTGCAAAACCCCAAACCCAGCATTTCCCCCCTCAAAAAACCTATTGGTAAGTCAAAAACCTGAAACAGTCCCGTGCCACAAGATGTTAGGAAGAGAGAGTTCAGAGTTTACTGGGTACTGAAATAACAAATGACTGAGGAAGTAAAATTCTCATACAGTTCTCTGACTGCATCACATGTTATACAGAGCTGTGGAGGTTAGGTGGACAAAAAATAATCCTTGTCAATCTGGCACAGGGATAAAAATTATCTGACCACAGAGCTGGTAATAGATTTAATTCCAAGTATGTGAGCAGGTAAGACAACTAGGCAAGGGATAATTTTATGCCAATAGCACAGCACTATATTGTACCCCACATCCTCTCTCTACTAGTCATGGCTAAATTGCAGTAGTTTGATGAAAAGTGCAAAAACAAACAAACAAACAAACCAACCAACCAAAAACAGAGGACAAATTATGCACTGAAGGGGGAAAACTCTTTCTGACCTCCCATAGTGACCAAGGAGCCTTGAAACATTGTATTAATACAGTATAAATAGATGGTTCTTTAAAAAAGTAATATTGCTCATTTTGAGTCTGTTTGTACATACTATAAAATACGACACTTTGAATTCATATCAGAATTCAAGTTTTAAATATTAGGAAATTCCCCTATATAAGTATATAATCCCTCCCATAAAACTTGCCAAACTCCATCCTAAAACAGTTTAGTTTCCCTTCCTCAAATACCCTGTTTAGAAAACTCCCAGAATGTCATTGTTTTGAAGATCAGCCAGAAATCACGTTGTTTAATTTACATTGTTAGATTATGCATGATCATAGTCAAAAAAACCCACAAAACCTCTGACCCCACTTAATGCCTTTTTTTTTTTAATTGACTCTATCAGGAGAAATGAACCAGGTATTTATCTTGTCTATATTACTGCAGCTTACAGAAACCAACTACAGAGTATTGCAGGTATATTGCTAAGAAGATATGATGCTGTTTCACCACCTGTCATTTATCTCTGGGCATGTTTGGAAAATATGACAAGGATCTAGCATAGAATAACATTTCCCGTACTGTGAAATCAAGACAAGAACATATAGAGACCTGCTTAATAACCAGGTAGTGCATAAAGTGGTCTGTGTCTTGGGTGTTTCCAGGCACACCTTTGGAATGACTGTTGTCTGTTGTTCTTGCCAGTGCCAGGGAATCTAGGGTGTTACAAGGACCATGGAGAGCCACCTTTGACTGGCACCAGTGAGACCTCCAACAAACTTACTATCCAAACATGCATCAGTTCCTGCCGAAGTCAACAATTTAAGGTGATTTCTTTGACATACATTTACAAAATGTTTTCAGAGACAAAAGATGGCAATATACCTAGAGCTCTCTGTTATATTTCTCTCTCCCCGCCCCCCCCCCCTTTTTTTTACTTTTAGGTGGTCTAAGGTCTCACTCCCACTCCAGGGGACCTAGCCCTCTCTCTGCATCCAGAGCAATCTGAGCAAACCAATTAATAATGCCAGGATGCCAGGAGAAAGTATGCTTGCTTACTGCAGTTATGAGTGATAGGGTGCCCTAACTGCCCTCCTCCGTTCCATCTTTCTCACTAATCTTAAGTAGCATCCTGACAGCTCAAACAAAAACAGTTTGTGGTGGGACCTCTGACCTCTGACTAATCATTCTTCTCCAAAACACACATATTCTGCTGCCAGCTTTCTTGCTCATACACCCTCTCGCTGTCACTCCTTTATATATTATCCCTCCCTTCCTTATGCATCTTTGTTGTCAAAGTTTGCAGGCATGGAATCAGGTTATGCTTGTTTCTGTGGAAATAATCCTGACTACTGGAGATATGGGGAGGCAGCCAGTACAGAATGCAACAGTGTTTGCTTTGGAGACCATACTCAGCCTTGCGGTGGGGATGGCAGAGTCATTCTTTTTGACAGTAAGTATTGAAACAGGCTCAGTTTTTCCCAAAGGAGAGGCCTCAAATATTCAGCAAGTTAGGAAAAAAGGGTTTAAATGCAATGAGAAGTGTTGCACACAAAACAGCAAAACACCTAAATTCAGTATAAAATAAAGCTGCTTTCCATTTCTGCATAAAATTCACATCCATTAATAATGTGAAATAGCTTTTCCAAGAAATGATGCCTGCTCAGGCAACTGACTCATGCTCCAGAGATTGTCTCTTACTTCCCCACAAATGGTACTAACTTGGCTATCGCAAACAGCCTGTCACAGAAAGACTCCTTCAGAACTGATCTTACCAGAGAGTAGATATATGATTAAGTGAGGCACCTCAAATAAGATTTCAATCTACACCAACTTGGGTTTTTTTATTAAACCAGACAAGACTTGCTATAACCCAGTTAACACAAAACAAAGTAGTGTAGTAGAATTGAGACAGAGGAGTGTACTGCAAAAGTACAAACAAGTTAGGTTGCTATTATGACCATCGCTGATTTCATAATTTCTTATACATAGAAATCCTCCTTTCTACTCTTAACTTTTCAGTATGCATACCAGTGCCAGCTGTGTAACCTCACAGGTTGATGGTATGAGTACCCTGTTGTCTGGCTGCAGTACAGGCTCCCAGTATAGCCAAGAGTACTGGAGAAATTCACAGTATGCACCATTGTTGCTTCTCAGATCTCAACTGCCCCTGATGTAGAAGCTAGCTTTTAAGTCGACTTACAAACTTTCTGGAACTAAAAGCGGCATCATCTTCCACCTTCTGAACACACAACCAGACTTCCCATCTCCTTAATCTAAAACTCTGATTGCCAGCTAGTGAGACAGAAAGACATTTCAGTTGAGACAGGAATTAGTCTGCTCACTTCCAAATTCTCCCCAAGATTTGAAAAGAAGCACAGAGCTGCATGTTGCTTTCAGTGCTGAGATAGCCTGTAGCTTCACACTGCAGCATCTTCTGGTTCCTTCTGCTCTTGGCCTCCCAAATCCTCCATGGGTAGAGGCTTCCTTTGTAGCTTTCCTCTTCTGGAATGGCTGAGGGCTTAGCAAGATGTTACCCTGAGGACGTGCAGTGTCTTTTCTGGTAAACAGCAAGGGAGAGAGCTATGGCCAGGTAGAAGAGGTCATCCTAGTAACTGCCACCTATTTTCTTTTGCTGATGAGCAACACCTGCTCGCCTCATTCCTTTTTTCCAGATTGTCATATCTCCAGAACCTTCACCCCAATCCCTGTACACCACCACCCCCCACCGACCCCCATTAACTTTATGTGTTTATGTGCTACCATCATGGCCTAAAGTGTAACATTCAGACCCACAACACAGAACTCTGCCAGCTCTAGAAGGAAATGAGAGAGGGAGAGCATTTCCATTCCATGTGGGGCAATGCTCTACTTTGTTAGGCATCTGTGGAGCAATAGTCATTGGCATTCTTAGTTAATATTGCTGGTTTGAAGAATATCTTGCAATTCAGTAATTGCAGACAGCACAGCCAAATATAACAGTACCTATAAGCCATTTACAAAGAGGAAATTTGATACCTCAATGACACATTTCAATTCTATCAATTTATTCTATTCTATCTATTCAAACAATTCTATCTATTTGATTAGATTACCAGCTCTGTTAGCATGGAGTAAATGCCAAACACAAATTCCTCTATGGGCCTTAGTACCTCTGTGGGGTCTTTCACCTTCTTTCTATTCTTCTTCTTTCATATTCTTTCAGTTCCTCTATAATGTGGTACTGAAGTGTTAGGTTTGCTCAGGCTATGATCAGGCCTTGCTCCAGAAAAAGAGAGAAATGTTTTCACGTGATCTTTCTGGCAGACATATGCTACTTCTTATTCATTCCTCCAGCTCCCTCTTAATTTGTATTTATTAAACCTCTTTCTCAGAGGCCTGTGAAAACTGAGACACTTCCAAACACTTCACTTCTTTTTTTCCATTCTCACAGGTCTCTATTACAGGGCTTTAATTAAGCTCTCAGAGAAAATGATTCTACTTTGATTCTTCAGTCCTTCAGCCTATGACATGGGGGCATAGTAACTCTGATCCAACCAGTTCTGTCATGAAATACATTGTTATATAATATATATAAAATATTGTGGGTTATGGGGATACATATATATATGCATATATACAATATATTTTTTAAATTATATATGTGTACATATAGATATGCATCAAGTCAGTTGGCTGGCATTTGAGTTTCTCTCTGGATTCATTGGTAAATAAGTTTGCACTGGGAATCTGGACAGTTGTCAAGAAATACAAAGATTTACTGGGTGTGTACTTGTTTTGAATATAAAAGGTAGCACCAAATCTAAAAGATTTTCTTTAGACTTCATAACACGATCTTTTTCAATTTACTTAGTGAAGGTAAGGTCAAACAATATTTGGAGAAGGTCAAAACACCGGATGCTTAAAAAGCACATATAAATGGCAAAGGTGATTCAGGAATTAACAGCATCATTCATACAAGGAGAAGCTGAGAGATCCTGGATTGTTTAGCCTTGAGATAAGAAGGCTCAGGGGGACCTTTTCAATTTGTATAAATAACTGATGGAAGGGTGTAAAGATGAAGCCAGACTCTCCTCAGTGTTATTTAGTGAAAAGAGGCAGCAGGCACAAACTGAAATACAGGAAAATCCATTTAAACGTAAGGAAAAGCTTTTTTTATGGTGAGGGTGATACCGGAACATGTTGCCCAGAGAGGTTGTAGAGTCTCCATCCTTGGAGACTCAAAAAGCAACAAGACAATGTCTCCTGCTTTGAGCAGGGGGATTGGACTAGACAATCTCCAGGGGTCCCTTCCAACCTCAGCTATTTTGTGAAGCTTTGTTTTTTTCAATTTGATAAGGCTGTGAAGGAACTTCAACAATTCAACAGTGAGAGTTACAGTCACTAATCCACTTGCCTGCCTGTCTGATGGGGATGGAGTAGAAGTCCCTGAATCAGTGATTTAGCTTTCATCCTGTTCCTGCAGGGATGCGGGAAAGGGTACATGGTTACATACAAGGACAAAGGATAGTTGCAGTATTCAAGATTGATGCATAGGTCACAGAGTAATGAGAGAGAATAAGTGTATGCCAAGCAAACACAACATAATAGCTGTGCTCCCAGTGCTGTGGAAGGTAAAGAATACCAATTTGAGAGATTGGTGCATCCTGCTGGGGTAGCAAGGCTGTACCTTCAAGTCACATTTGAGTATTAGAATCTACAGAGTGCTAAAGCTGTGCATAATGGATGTATAACCTCTTTTTTTTTTTTTTTTTTCAATTTTCTTCCTCTCCTCTTCTTTTCACAGCCCTTATTGGTGCCTGTGGAGGGAATTACACTTCTGCTACAGCTGTGATCTATTCCCCAGATTTTCCTGACACATATGGCACAGGCAAAGTCTGTTACTGGACCATACAAGTTCCAGGAGCATCTCGAATCCACTTCAGCTTTGCTCTTTTTGAAATCAAAGATGCTACAGATATGGTGGAATTGCTGGATGGCTATACCTATCACGTTCTAGCTCGTTTTAATGGCAAGAATCGGCCTCCCCACACCTTTAATATCTCTTTGGATTTTGTCATTTTGTACTTTTTCTCAGATGAAATCAATCAAGCCCAGGGATTTGCTATCAGATATAGAGGTAAGAGGCTAACTGCTGTTTCTACCTTTCAATGAGCCATTAAAGCATTTAAATCACACAGGATATTTCTGAGGTGGCAAAAAAAGAGCAAATAATTTAACTCTCATGTCTACAGGTGTTTCACCTATCTTGTTGCCACTGCTCAGTGGGTAAAAGCTTCGCTAAACTTTCTCTCAATTTGGAACATTCCAGTCAGCTATGTCATAAACAGCAAAATTTAGATTTTTCAAAAATTCAATCCTATACATACCTGCCTGTCAAAACAGATTGGAAGATGACAAAGCTGAAACAAAACAAAACCCCAGTAGTCCCTCTGCATCTTAATTCATCTTGGCTATTTCCAACAGTCTATTCCACTCAGATCAAAAGTCATCAGGAGAAAACATTTTAGTCCTTGAGTTGTACCTACTGTTAGGATGAACAATTAGCTTCCAGAAAAATTCTGAGAACCCCAACTTGGTGAAGTACAGGCTTTTTGTGGCATCAGACAAAATTTGATTATTGGAGTTCTCTTAAGTAAACCAGAGAGCAGCACATGGCTGTTTACAAGCATAAAATAAAGTCCAGTTACATCTGTTAAGAAATTGTTATTGTAATCATACTATTATGTTTTCAGCTGTGAAGGACAATGTGCATCAAAAGAAGATTCCAATGAATCAGACCCTTTCGGAGAAGATAAATGAACAAGCAAATATAAGCATCAATGCAGCCCGGTCATCAAAGATACTTTATGTCATCACAACCAGCCCAAGTCATCCTAGTAGCTCCATGCCTGGTAATATTACAAGAAAATGTGGAAACAGGAAAAACATTTTGCCAAGGCACAATATAGTCTCACTACTTCCTTTGCCTCCTCCTCCACTTTATCTGATCCACTGTGCCTCTTACTAATAGATGAATTCTCACTAACTGCTGCTGTGATTACCTTTCAGGACTCACTTCTCAGCATAAATCAGTTAGAAGTAGTGTGAAGATGGTGAGTCCTTGAGAATGAAAGCACATCAGAATAAGATGTGAGTCAGAGCAGCCTCCTTACTAGAATCAGCTTCAGTCACCAGTGCATACCATAGAGGTGGCAAAAGGTGCTGAAAAAAGAGCAAGCTTTTGTAGAGTCTCGAAGAACCTGAATGCTGGATGCATCGCAGTTATCCCAATTCACAAAATCTACAGCAATAATACAAAGAGGGATAGACAAGGATGAAGCAAGTTAATGGGTGCAGGGGAGAGGACACTGAGAACTGTCCTGTTTCTACAACTCACCTTCAAGACATCACTTCATTCAAGAAATTGTTGAGTTGTAAATAACTGAAGACTGGAAAGGGAGTCTTGGTGAATATCACTATTGGTCCCTCCTATCTTTAAACTGCCCTGGGCATTCACTTTTACATATTGTTGAAGCTGGGCCTCAAATCACACTATGGACACTCTCATAGTTCTGTAGTCCTGAAGCTGTCTGCATTCCAAACCTGAAGCGTTTAAGGACGTGACTGCACATGAGCTGCATATACCCAAACTAGCTAGACTGCAGAACATGCCTAGGATTCTGGGCAGATATTCTGGCACTAGGCCCAGGCTAGTGCCTGAGTTACCACAGCTACATTTAAGCTGCCTAGTGTTAAACTAGCTTGGGCATACTGACCTAGATGAAACTGCACCCTTGGATTTTATGCAGTTATGAAAAAACTGTTAAAAGTCATCATGAACAGTCAATGCTTTGAGGAAGGGGCATTTGGTGGGAGGGAACTTATGCTTCCTTTTTTTTGCTCCTTTGAGCTTCAGGACTTCTGGAGGTGATGTACTTTATTCAGTTCAAATAATTCAAGGTCCTTGCAAGGCTGTTCAGTGTGCTAAGTATGTCAGAGTTACACTCTAGTGCCATCCCTTTTCTCATCTTGACATGTTGTAGCCTCCCTCTGCAAGATTATGGAAGTCCAAATGAAAAGGTGATCTAATCATTTAGAGATCAGCTCCCTTCAAGCCCCAGTCTCTTAAATAGCTCAAATGTTACAATGTATAAAGCTGTTCTGTCCTGCCTGACTTGCTGGTACAACCAGAACTAAATTGAAATATAAAATACAATGACCAAAGCCTTCAGTGTAAGGTAATAAAATAGCAGACCACAAATACTGATCACCTGTCTCAGTAGACTCTAGAAAGTAAAAAAAACCCCCATACTTAGTGATTACTTACATAACTACGGATATAAAACTAGGCCATCTCCTTGCATAGAGTTACTACTGGTAGCATATATTCTAGTATGTTGTTTAGTTGCTTTTATCTTTTCCTGTGAGTGAGTTTTGATTCCTTTCCTAGATACTAATTTACTGGTATATGCTTTGGATTTTCCCAACTTTCAATTTCATAGGGAGCAGTCCTGCATGGGAAAAACCAATTCTGAGAGTTACACAGTTTCCATGAGTCTTTGCAGAACATACTTAAAGGTTTAAGGTATCTTCAGATTAGTTTTGAATAAAGCATCAGAAGGCTGTGTGTTTCTTTTGTGCAATATTGTTACTTTAAAAACCATACATAAATGAAGGTACTGAGAGCTCTTCCTCTCCCTCCCCTCCCCTCTCTCCCCTCCCCTTCCCTCTTCTCTCTTCTCTCTTCTCTCCTCTCCTCTCTTCCCCTCTCCCTCTCTTCTCTTTTACAGAGTGGACAATATATAGTCTCACAGCACTGCTCATCCTAAGTATTACAGCCATAATAGCAAAGATATTTCTCCACATTACCATGAGGTGAGTACGGAGCAAAACTGCCCCTGGAGAACTGACACCTCAGCTGTGTACCAAACCTGGTACAATTCATTTCTGTGTCTTCTGATATTGTCAGATTAGTCATATGCAAAACCAAGTTACATGTTACATATTTGTATCCTCATAAAAGATACTAAATAAGCACATTTTTAAAACTTTTCCAGTCTGTTAGGATAGCACTTGCTGCTAGAACGTGTCTTTTGGCCTTGTTTTGTATTTTAAGGAATAAAAAGGTTTCTCATACTGAGTGATGTTATATAGCAAAGAGGAAAATGTAATCAGACATCTAGCACTGGGAAGAGGTCGAATTGTGATAATTAATACTTTGTGGGAAAAAAATTAAAACCTTATCCCAGATTGGGGAACTGGGAAAAAAGTTAGATATAGGCTAGTTAATTCTTACTTTCTTTTACTGAAATATTGAAAATAGTTCAAAAAAGAATCACAAAAATGAAAACTGTAGTATGGTGTGACACTTAACCAGTATATTTTTTTTTGCCTATTAAAACCAAGATTTTATTACTATAGTTCTCTACACTTATACTAAAAAGTAATTCTTGTGTCCTCTAGATGGACACTCATTGAACGAAATGATGGGTGAGTTCTCAACAAATCATAAATGTTGAATATTGTATTTATGTACCACAAACAGGCTTAAATATACACAGAAATTAATGTATATTAATAACAATTAGTAATAGAATATATACAGATTTCTTAGCTTAATGTCACTGCTTTCATTAGGGTAGCAACTATTCCAGCAACAGAATTGCTAACTCTTCATTTGGTCAAGAAACAACCAAAAACCTACATAACTGTGCAGCAGGTAGAAAGAAAAGGTGTCACAGATGTAGTGGAAGCTGCTAGCATTACCAGTGTAGCAGTAATGCAGACGTACTAATAACAGCAGCTTCCCAAGCACCTTAACACTTACAGTGAATGAACACTTGTTTCCTAGATCCCATCAGATACCATCTGCAACTGAAACAGAAGATTCCAACGAGGTTACTACTGCTGATGAGATCTGGAGTATATTTTACCAGCCATCCACATCGATATCCATCTTCAAGAAAAAGCTTCGAAGTCAACAAGATGATTGCAACCCACTAGTGGGAAACTGAGGTGTCTTTTATTTTACAAGAAACAATCTTCTTAAAATCCAGGTGACTTGGGAATAATCCTTTTTTTTCCTCCCAATCTCATACTTGTTTTCCAAAAAGACAATTTCTAAAGCCCTTTGGGTGATTTTGCCTATCTGCTGTTCTCTTGGGTATACTAGTGACAACAGATTTAATTGTGGCAATAGTTTTGAAGCATCTGGTGCTCATCAAATCTGTAGTGCTGTTAATTACTGCCTTTAAACAAATGCACTTGAAATACATGTAAAAACCTGTAAAATTCAAAATGTCCTGTACACCTGCCAAAAGTAATTGAACAAGTATCTGCAGGTTGAGGACTTCTTCTATCGTGCTTTCCTGTATCACTGTATTATATCAGGATACTTTAGTCCCTTTATTCTCAAGGCTGAAGACAGAGGTAGCTACTGATAACCCGTTCAGCTGCCACAGCAAGCAGAGCTTACTGGCCTTAATGTAAACATGTCTAAATGGTACTGTACAGTAAAATGGGAGTCAAAGACTTTGAGAAACTATCAGCCTGGTTGCTCAGTGCTCTGCTGTTTCTACATTTTCTGTTTCTACAAGCAGAGATGTACAAATAAAAATCAAAACAAATTCAGCAGGCAAACACTCTATGGAGTTTCAGTTGCAAACGTGAGTTTCGATGGAGTAATGCTCACCAGGTTAAGGTCCGCACGAACAATGAAGACTTTTAAACAACTATGTCTGACCCATCATTCACCAATAATTATAATAATTTTGTTCATATTCACAGTGATCCTTTAAAAACTATTGTACTCCAGTCTGAAGTCCTGCATTCATTCTGGATGTAAGCTTAGGGCTTCTTAAAGGATTGTCCAAAGAAATTGTAAATCCACTGTATTTTTAAACAGTGAGGCTGACACAAATTCTTACTCTGAAGTTAAAGATATTGATCTCAGCAGCCTAAACTATTTACAAAGATGTAGCCTGCTATCAACAGCCTAACTACGCCAGGCTGTGTATCTGAACACATACGCGACAGTTGCCTCAATACTTATCTGTGAGAAAAAAAAGTGTCTCCTCGCCTGCAAAATTAAAACTGAACTGCATTTTTAAGATTAATGCCCTTAATTGTTAAAGAACTAAAACATCAGTGGGGTTCTGATCTGTGGAATAATTTCTCTTTGATTGCAACAGACAGCATTAACTATTTTTTCTCTTTGGTAGAATATCTGTCCACCCACAATGCTCATACTTCTCATCCCGCTACCGCGGATCAACAGTGAGTCTTTCAGCCTCAGCAAGTCCAGACCAGCAAGATATTTAGGAAAAACTGACAATACAGAAGTCTGATAAATTAACTGGCAAAGTTTACTGCGTGAGCAGCTCCTCAAACTAAGTTAGAGGAAATTCAGTCAGAGCCATTAAAGTACAGTAATTCTGGTTAAGAGAAAAGGAATAAATATCAGTTTAAACATATACCAATGGTCTGTGTATACCAGACCTGCAGTCAGAGAACAAATATTACATACATCTGCAAAAGATAACTAATTAAGAAAATTGTCACTGAGTTTAAATTCATTATAGTATCTGTCCTTCTGTTTTTAACATATAACTACCTCCCCTTCATGAGGTCTATAGATTTCCTTGAAAAAATAGGGCATCTAAGAATTAAACAATTAAATATTGTGCCTTACTTGCCATCATAGATCTAGTCTTTTACCTGAATCAAATTCATTCCAGCTCCATTTATGTACTGTACATGAGTGCCAGAGACATCTGAACAATACCACCATAAGAGACAAGACTTTAATAAGCCAGCAATTACGGAATTGTTTATATCAAAAAATGGAATATCATGGGAACATCTAGTACTTTCTTGCACGAGCTACTGGAAAGAATACAGGAAAAGATAATTACAGTATCACCTAAAATCAAGAGAGGACAAGTTGTAAAATACACTGGTTATCTCCTATATGTTATCAGGTTGGACCAAAAACATTATCTGTTTCAGACTCAACAAAAGTTTTTAAATTGCCTTTTTAACAGTCAGATTTTGCATCATGCTGTGTAGGGAAAGAGTCCACCTCACAGATGGAGGAGAAAGTCAGAGTGTAAAGCTAGATCCTTAAGAGTTCAGTTATGAGCACATTGTGATGAAGCTTTGTTTGCTTGCCTTGTCAAATGTTCTTGAGCAGTTAAATGCATACAGTCAAAGGGACATTTATAAAGCAGTTAGATAATGCTGATAAACTGAAAAAGCATCAGGAGCACCCCATTACTGATTTCTACCTACTGCAGAAGGAAAAAATACAGAACTGTTAAGCTTCTCTTCTTCATTTCACTGTAAAATTAGAGAAAGTCCATTACAAACAACAACAAAGACTGATGCTACTAATCCAAATTCTAGAGAATTTAGAAACTGAGGTTTTGCATTGGTCTCTTAGGTCCTCAACTATTTTTTAAATAATAAAATTGTATTTCATGGGCCTTTCTTAGGGAATATTTATCCAATTTCTGTACAAAAGATCCATAAAACCAGCAGTTATAACAGATTAACTGGCCGTCGCAACAATGAATATGACTAAGCATAAGGTATTGGACAGTGCACAGGTAAAAACACTGATAAAAGTGTAGAGGAAATTGTTATGTTCCACCCAGATCTTTCAGATTGTCTGATTCTAGATAACTCTAATACTAGGAAACAGAGCAATAGATAGAAATGCATGGACAGGGTCCTTAAATAGCACTTCTTAATATACAGGCCGGCAACCATGAAAAGCAGGTTGATCTCTACTGTGGATTTTTTTGAAATGTGGTATGGTCACTCGCACTCCTAGTACAAACACTTCACTGGTATGGTGGTATATGGCCAACATATATGGTATCCATTAACATAGCACTTTATGATCTTTGCTATAAGGGTTTGGGAGAGAAAGAAGGGAAGTCTGACATGCACAACTGTTGTAATCCCCCATGATTCAGCATACAGAAACGCCCCTATGACACTAGCAGCTGAGTACTGACAGCTGGAGGGCACGGACACCTCATGATGTTAGTGTTTACAGCATTTTCTTCAACAAATTGAAAATAACTGCAGAAGCAGCATTTGTTTGGAATTGTATCTGAATGGCTTTCTGACCTCCTACCTAGCAGTTCCCTCAACAGGCTGGACAGGCTGCAAATGTGACATTGGCCACAATTTCAAAAGCAACTGTTCTGACAACAAAACCATCATGAGGAGCTGCCTCCTCATACGCACACATTCCAGCCCCTGCTCTGGCCCCTTCCTCACTCTGTTGTGTTGGTATGACCGGCTGTGTGGTGGTGCAATAAACTGATCAGGTTAAAAATTACCATTGCTTTTTCTTCCCTGAGTTACTTTTAACAGACATGAGTTCTCTGATCTTGTTTATTGGGTGGTTGCACAGAGAGGTGCGCTAACACAGCTAAGTGGACAATAAGTCATAGGAAAAAGACAGTTGTCTGCCCCAGAAGCAGGGGCAGTAAGTACTTATGCTGGCACTGCCACCGCAGCAATTTGTGAGACTGCCTCCTTACTTTATGAAGCATGTCAGTTACAATAGCCGACAGTATACGTGGACCTCAGGTGGAAGGGGGTCAGCTGGACAAGTGGCTTCCCTAATTCAAAATCTACGTTTAAAACTAGTTTAGTTTGTTGACTAAATGATTTTATATGTACTTTTGTCTTAATATTGTTATGTTGGGGGGAAATAGAGACTGTGTTATTTAAAAGTATGTGTGATATGTTATCATAGTAATATATATATTTATATATGTATAGGAAATGCATTATTTAATACAGCATATTATGCTTGTATCTTGCTAACATTTTATGGGAAGAAAAGATGTTAGTTTACACTCTCGGAAAAATAAATTTTCTATACACTGTAACCACAGAAAAAAATCAAAGATAAGTCATTGGTATATATGATAGAAGAGCACTGAGAAGAGGGTAACTCAGACTCAGTTTTGTGGCAGAATAGATGCTGATGAAACAATTGCTTTAAGATGCACTTCCCTCCTTTGAATCTCATTTCTAGCTTGTAATTGTATTAGGATATTCATCAGATTCTGCAAATTCATGTGCATATACTCTCAGGACCGTTTTAACATCAAACATGTCATCTGCTTTTTCAATCAAGGATTAACATTGTCTTTTTTAGGGCTTGTTTCTGCCAGATTTTCTACAGCCAGTACAATGTTGAAGAGGTTTATCACATTGCTCATGCAGACAACCCACTGATATTGCAGAATTATAGTCTCTGTACTCCAGGCTCCCCTGGCAATAGTATAAGTGGGAGATTTTTACTGATAACCTTGGAAACTGTACTGAATCTGCAGCCTGTATGACTACAGGCCAAACACATCAACAGACACGTGGCTGCCACTGAATGAGCATGACTAGCTATTCCAGTTTCATCTTCTGCTTAATAAGCCTTCTCAGGCAGTGGGAAGGACTGCCAACAGATTTTGCCTAGTGCACCACTTTGCCTAAAGGAAGGGTGAACTACAAAAACAACTCCTGACAAATACTTGTCCAACTAGTTCATAATAACTTGCAGCAATGATATTTCACAATTTTCGAATGAAATAGAGCCCAGTGATAGTTTCACCTGAATATTATTCTAGACATTTATGAACAACCTTATCATTCTGCTACCTTGAGATCTTGAGAGTGAAAAATATAATTGCCTTCAGATCATACAATTTTTTCCATAACAACACACCACCTGACACACATACATTTCATGCAACTCATATGTTCTCAACTTCACTGAGCACCTGTGCTTTGGGATGAAATTTGGCATTCTGAATTTCAGTCTCAAGACAGCTTACTGTAAATCCAAAGGCTATCACATGAACCAAATAAGACTCACAAGAAAACAGAATAAATCAAACTTGAAATGACTCACCACTGAAATATGTACTGTGTTTATACATGGTCATCCTGCATTCAGCAAATGTCTGTAAGTAGTAATTATAAAAAAAAATAAATATAGTGAATTTCTGCAGGAGGAGTTCAGCTAGTATCACTGAAGTGTAGACAAGCATTGAATTAAGGAGGCAGAAGCTGCTGCAGTTCACCAGCAGATTACAGCAGGATTGTCCGCTGTGGAGGTTAGGCAATATTTCAGCTGAAAATGCTGAGAATGATTACATATGGAAAATACGTTATCACCGAGAACCAATTTCTGAGGTAACAGCAAACTGAAATTTTCAGTTTACATGTCCTCACACTGTTAGAAGTAACTATAACAATTCTTTCAGTGTTTTCTGTACAAATTGCAGCAACACATAATGCTGTTTCCACTTTCTTGCGAGATTCATCTTTTCTTTCATGAATTCCTCCTTTTGACTAAAATAATGCTACACTCTCTGAAAGAAATCTTCAGCTACGTTTTATGTAAATGTCTGAATACCAGTGTCATATACAAAACTGTCTCCAGCTTTTCATGTCAGGAGTCAAACTCTCATTTTCTTTTAGACACACTACTGTCACGGGATTGGCCTCCCCTTACACAGGGGAGGTTACTTTGCTCTCCTTTCTTGCCATTCAGGTCACGAGACTTCTCTTACACTTCTGTTTATTCTGGGAACTGTTGCGCTTTTTTTGTTGTTTCCTAAGCAACAGTTTCATTCCCCATGAGGCAAATGTATTCTTTATTCTGAAAGAGACACTTTGCTATGAAGCGTTTAATTCACAGGAGCACGGCGCTTCCATTGCAAGATAAAATATCTGGTTTCAGGTATGCTGTCTTCTCCCTGACCAAAGACTTAGGCCAGGCTGGCTTCACACAGTATGAACAAGACTATCCTTTTAAGGACACTTTTCTCTTCACACTACCCAAGTAACAACCAGTGCTACCTAACAGCTGTCACTGGATTTGACAGATGCACCCAATATTGCTACAGCAAAAATGAGATAGTGTTACAGAAACACCAAGTGTTACTGTAATGCACAATCTCATTAAGAATAGTCTGATCCTGCTTTTCTTGTTTTACCATATGGAGGTTCCATGCAGGTTTATGTTGTCCACAGGACTCTTGCTTTGCCACGAATTTGTTCCTTAAGTATTGAACCTCAACAGTGAAAAGAACCTCCCCCTGCCAAATATCAAAATATTCATTTTTGATAGAAAATGTTTACATTTAATCATTAAAAAAAAGCGCCACAACAAAGAAGAGACAGAATACCACACACACACAAAACTAAGCACCACATTCAAGTTCAGCCAACAACTGTCTTTCTCAAAGAGACAGACTATGGGCTCACTGATTATTTTGTGGGACAGCAAGGGTAAAGGTATGTCCTGTTCTTAAAAGCACAGTCACCTCACGGTTTTCTTCAGAACAAGAAATGAGAAAACAAAACACTAGTCAGCAATAGAAAACAGTGGGGGTGGAGGGAGGGAGGGAGGAGGAAGGAGGCTCAGATGTGACTCATGACCATAGGCCTATCAGCCAAATACATAATGCCAAGTTTTATGCTATTTTTAAGAACAATCGTTCAGTGAACTAATTTGCAACTAAAATGCATATCTATAGTCATTGACAATTGCCAAGATTCTGTTCACCAAGCAGAAAAAGGGCACGTACTTTGATTGGGAAGCACTTGCTGGTGCTGCTTCACTCCCTCCTGCCTGTTGGTCTTCCATTATTGTGCCTGTCTTCTCATACAGACTGGGCTTTCCCACAGTACCTGAGATGAGGATAATAACTGGTCCTCATTCTAGAAAGAGTCCCATGCAAAAAGATACTCTTCAGTTCAACAGTCCGTCATCCCAAACACGGAGTTTTCACATACGAAACAGAGCTGGAGAGAAGTAAGGCTCATTTCTTGGCTGAATTCTGAGGTGACTGAATTACAGTGCACATGAACATGGATGAGAGGAGGGGAAGGTCCAGGGGATTACCAGGGGAAAATCTTTGGGAGAAGGAAGAAACTGGAGGAGACCGGAAAGCATTTTTTGTGTGTGTTTATCACTGGATGGGAAATAAATAACGTATGGAGGCAAACTGTGTACACACTAACATATAAACATATATTACATAAATACATATGTACACACACACACACACGCACGTGCAGGTTGCTATCCACATACCTCCAAGCCTCTCTCTTTTGCTGTCTGTGTAAAGATCTTTGGTCAAATTATGCCCTCTGATGACAAAAAGAGAGTAGCACAGCACTGATTTTCACTTCAGTGGGACTAGTGATTTCATGATCCAGGGTAAGGACTTGGATCTAGCGTGACTACTCAAGCTATGATTTACCCAGCTGCGTCCACCCACATCATGCTGACTCAGGTCTCGAAACAGTTTTGTTTCAGGATAATAAATTATTTTTACCCAAAATCAAACCAGAATTAAGTTCCCCTGCTACAAGGAACAGGCAGGTTCCAAACATAAATGAGGATGCCTTCCAGCTGATGTGTCACTCCTCATATGCCTGGAAGTTTCAGCGGCTTGTAAAACATCCCCCTACCCTGCCTCAAATAATCTGCATACTATAAAAAAGCCCAAGTGCTGTCCTGTTGGTTATGGACTGCCACACTGCAGCCTGAGCTTCACTGCATTTCCTCCCCTGTTTCCCCTGGCAGACCTCTTCACCCCATCTCTTCCACAGCATACTCTGGAGCTCTACTTTCCTAATGCTTCACTTTTCCTTCTTTGCCTTCCTTCCTACATAATCTTTGTTTTCCTGCAATTAATATATCTAGCTTCCCCCCTTAACAGCAACACCAGCCAGGTGTGACCAGGGACACTGAAGCAACAGGCAGCCCTCCCGTAACACAGACCCTGGGTGAGACCTCCTGGGAACAGTATTAGGAAGGCAGCTAAAACTGTCCAGTACTGGACTTACACTGTGCACAATACCAGGTAAAAAAAGCTAATTTCTGGTGGATATTCAACTGTGGCACTTGCTGAAAGTTGAATGGTCCTGAGACAGAACATTATGGGTTACCTCCAGAAAAACACACTTCTGAACGTTTTATCATGATCATTTTTGTTAAGATCTGTACATGTGTGTATGTATATACATATCCACCTCTCTATTATTTAAAAAAAGTAAAAAACATTGTTTATCACAGTTCATCTCAGCATATCTAGGACTATACTTTGAGGAGCACAGCTATCCATGTCCTTTCCCCAAAAACAAGAAGGACAACTTCCACATGTATATGCAATAAAACTGTATTTTTGTGTGGTTTTGCCTTTTTTTTTTAATACAGACATTTGTACACTTTCTTACAAAACTGCAGGTAACTACAACTTTTCTTAAATCATTTTTGGTCGGCAAGTACTGTAAAATCTTTGTGTGCAATTATCATGTATTTACAGGGCCTCATGTTAGTGATTTTCAATGATTATTACAATAATGTCACACACTCTCAACATAAGACATGGCTTAAGATAAATATATTAGTAAATAAATATTCTGAGAACATATTTCCATAAATGAAATGTGCTGCTATACATATACAGAATATATACAGGATGTTTTCTAGCTTTTAAAACATTTTAAAAAATGGTAATGAAGGAGAAAGAGCCCTTTGACCATATTACAAATCTTTACAGCAAATTTTATACAAAACAATTTTAAGTGCTATAAGATAACTTTAATTAAAAACATTTTAAATAGTGCCTCATGAGCCAAACACAATGACAACTGTTCACGTTGAACATAGAAAGGCATTTTGTTATAAAAACCGTCTATCACAGCCAGGTAGCCTGTAAGTCTGTATGGACATACAGGTAGCAGGGAATTAACTAAATGTTGAATATAAAACCAAACACAGAAACCAGATGTAGGGTACCTCTGTAGTAAGGCCTGCAGAGACTGTTGTACTGGCAGAGATTTCCACAACATGTGAATGAGACCAGTACATCCAGGAACACCATGAGCCAGAATATACAAATTTTTTTTTTATAACCACATTTTACCGCAACATGCTGTGTAGTTATAGAGTACAATGCATCTTAGGTGGCCTTAGACAGTGCCTCACAAAACACCAAGCAGAATGACCAGGGTAGTATAGCATAGCTTCTACAATGCATTTCTTTTGAGTGGAGGAAGGAGAAAGGTAAGACTTGAAAAACCAACCAAACAAAAAACCCAAACCTTTATTCTCCCAACACATACCACTTACTTCAGTCATTCAGAGAATGAGTAAGTTTTTAATAAGCTTTATACACAGAAAATGTGTTTATTGGAATTTTTCTTTTAATCTTATACCCAGATATCGCCTTGTATTAATTCTCTGAACAGCTGGATTTTGGTGTTTGTTCATTTAAAAAGATTTAATACGAATTCCTTCAAATAGAATTATTTTCTCCTAACTTACTGAGTACAGAAAGTAAAAGTAAACGGATGAATGTATTTGTTATTTCTTAGATGTTTGCTTCTTTTAAAATATTTCATTTGGGACTATAAAGCAAACAAGTTAACTTTGCTGCTTCTCACAATTAGTGAGAAGTGCTGTCAAGGACATTACTTTGGCAGAAAATGTAAGACGAAGTGTACATCTCTTTTTTGTGTCTTTTAAGTATCTCCAAAGTGTACTGAACTTCGGACAAATCTTTTCAGAAGACTGGCACTGTGGGCATTAAATAATTAGTTTCCCTTTAGGAGAATTCCTGCTGTGAATACACCAGACAGGATGACACTGTGTCCTCAGGCACATGCAGCATGACAGGCAATTTAAACCATGCTATGGTAGCCTCTTACTCAGAAGCTGCTGTTTCCACAGGAAACAATTGTTATCAGAAGTGACGACATACATTATCTCATGATAACAAATATCCCCACTAGTACAAGAACAATAACAAAAGTATGTGCCCAGGCTAATGGGGTACAGAGAGCACTCTGTACACAGGACAAAAATGAAGCACAACTGGCTGGGCCCAAGAAACCTTTAAAACAGATTGATCTATGGAAGCAAAGAAGAAAATGACAACTAAACCAAGTCCCTCACATTCCCACATCCACAAAAGGTGATAAGCACTGCTTCCCTCAGGCATGCTTGCAGTCTATAAGGAAACAAGACACCTTCTGACCTTTTTCCAAAATGAGCCAGCCAAGCTGCAAGCACCCTGCAAGCTCTGTTTTCCTGCATATGCCAGCATTCCTCACAGCCATAACAGGGGCTACAGGTGCCTGAAAAACTTCCTATGGAAGGCAAGGTTCATTACCTACAAAGGTATTACCCTTTCTAAGCACTTTCTTCTAGCATCTGTTTGAGGGAGGGGTCCCCAGCATTCTTCACCAGTCAGAAGATACAATGAGGTCCACGGTTTAGCAGGAAGTCAGAACAAGAACATTCTGAGCTACCAGTTTCCCTACCCCCACTCTGTTAAAACTAATCATAATGGCAGGAGACCCTTCCAGAGACCCTTCCTAGCCAAATCATCAGAGCAGCATGAAAGGGGGAGGAGGGGAGAGGAGAAAGGAGACAGCCCAATGCTTCACCTCCCTCAGAATTGCTCATACAACTTGCTGGCTACTAGGATTTGCTACAAGGAATAGTCGTTATCTGAGCATCCACTCAGCAGCTGTATCCCTCTGGACTACTATATTTCAAGGTGCTATCTGGTTTCTAAGGCAGGTGTAGCCCTGAGCTTATTGAAGGCTGGACTCCTTGAAGTAGGAGATAACAGCATCTACACATAGCCTGGCTTATTTAACACACCGTGTTACCTCTCAGCAAGAGCTGACACGGTCACTTCTAAAAAGAAAATATAAATAACACTTTGTCATTAATATAGAAATGGCACTAGAGCTCAGAAATGCTCCACACCATGTCCCACATGGGCTTTGCACACAAATGGAGGCCTGAAGGCTTCAGGCAAGAGGGACAAAGGAGACAATCAAGCTGATGTGGACACAGAGGAAGAGGAAGTGGGGGAGGGAATTCTCCACATTACCACTTTTGTGTGTTTGTCAAAGCTTAAAAAAAAATTAAGTCCATGAGAATTTGGAGTCTCTGATAAGCTCCACTTCTCCATCCGGGATCATCTGGACAGGTCTAGTCACCGATTTGGCTTCTCTCCAAGGGATGAGATCCAGCACCTGAAGGATAAAGAAAACTAAGGAACATTGCATCTAGAATATTGCATCCAGTTTTGGGGCCACCAGTGCAAGAAAGACATTGACTGACTGGAGTGAGTTTGGCAGAGAGCCAAGATGCTCAGAGGAGATGCAGCCTCTGAGAAGAGGCTGAGGGATTTGGGCTTGTTCAGCCTGCAGAAGAGAAGGCCTCAGGGGTACTCCCTAGCAGCTTTGCAACACCGACATGGAGGCTGTCACAACGATGGAGCCAGGGTCTTCACAGTGATGCATTTCGGACAAGAGGTAAGGAGCTTAAGTTGAAACATGAGATGTTCAGGCTGGATGTTAAGGAAAATATTTTCACCATGCTGGCAGTCAAGCATGGGAACAAGGGCCCAGAGAGGGAGCGCACTCTGCGTCCCTGGAGGCTGTCATGGCCTGACTGGATAAACTTGGTCTAATCTGACAAACTGAGTAACTTGGTCTGACCTCAGAGCTGGCCCTGCTTTGAGCAGGAAGCTGGACTAGATGACAGCCTGAGGTCCCTTCCAATCTAGGGTACCCTATGATGCTTGAACACCCTTAAAAACAGCCCTGGCAAGGCAGGTAAGGAATACCCTCCTTCATTCTTGAGGGGTTCTTTTTTTCCCCTGTGTATGTCCACAGCAGAGACTTTCCCACATTCTTCTACAGCAATTCCAAGTTTTTCACTCATTTTTTTTATCCTTCAGCTTGTCTGTCCCCTCCCAGCACTGTGGCCTTGCCTGCTTAGGCAGCTTGCCACTGCTGCCATGACTGGCCCAGCATCCCTGGCTGTGGGAGCTCTAATGGGGGCCTTGTACTAGCAGTCATTTTTTCCCCTCCCCACAAAGGATGAGTATGAAAGCTCTTACAGGGTTAGACAGTAAACTGCCATCTTCTATTCCTCTAGCTATGACCAAATGAGCACAGGTAACAAGACACTAACACTTTTGGTTGAAGGATTAGTCAATAACCTGCTCTTATGCAAAGGACGACAGTAACCTTTGTGGCTGCAGGTACCTAGGAAGCTGGCAGCATTTTACATGCTGGGACAGAAAGGTAGCGAGTAATCAAAAAAAGCACACATATTACCTGTAGCCTTTGTGGTTGTCATCAGCTTCTGGGAGTTCAGAGTGGGACTGGGAAAGAGCATTCCGGCTTCCTCCTCCTGAGAGCAGTTCTGCCGCAGGAATGATGTTGCCTCATAGCACACCTCCCTCTCGTCCTGTACCTCTCCTATACCTTGGCAGTGCAGATAAGTATCTAGCTCAGGTGTTCCATCCCAGGAACTACAGCCTCCCGTGTGGGTCCCTTGGCACTCTGTAGGTAGGATCAGCTCACAGTCTCTGTCTTCAGGAATTATGGGAATGCGTTGACCCAGATCACATACACCCTTACAGCAGCTTGGCAAGGTGTCATCAGGAAGCGTGTACTGCACATTCACTGCATAGTCTTCTGTATAGCAGCCACCACCTCCACTGCCACTGTTACTACTACAGGCCACCTGCTTCTCTTCATAGAAGCAGCAGGGCAACCCCTCATATTTTACCCCATCTGTCCTATGCAAGTGGTCTGAGTTAATACTGTACAAGCCCGGGGTGTTCCCTGACTGTGGTTCTATTCCTGGGCCACACGTCCCCCACAGCGGAGAGCTAAGGAAGAGTGCACTACAGTCAGCTGTCCCATTGCTAGGTTCCAGGGCAGAGTGCTGGAGTTCAAAGCAGCATGCGCATGCTTGCTCCATAAGTGGCCCTGCTACCTCTGGATTTTTCCAGTTCCTTTTAACATCCAAGGCAGCACCAGGAGTGGCCTCATGTCCTCCCTCTGAGGTAGTGCCATTTGGATCCCTGTGCTCTAGTGAGGAATTACTGCTATAGTTCATATCCATGCTGCAATTAGACAGTTGGTCCCCTGAGGAAGAAGCTGGCACAGGCCGGCAGTCAGCACCCACCAGACTGAGACCATGAGCTGGAAGCTCGTCCTCGTGGGGGCCCTCCAAGAGAACAATTGCACCCCTGTTTGCACCACCAACCTCACCCACTCGGCAAGGGCTCTTACTGCGGTAAACGTATGGGTCATAGTCACTGCTCAAAGAGCTGCGAAAGGTGGAGCAGCTCCCATAAACCCCCTGGTTGCTGACCTCAGTGCAGTCAACCATGGAATCACTAGAGGAGCAGTGGCACTGACCAGAACTGCTGCTGCTGCTGTCACTGCCAGGGCAGTCAGCCAAATATCCACTGCACACTGAACGATGACCATGATAGCAGCTAAAGCTGGAGGTACTGCCACTCTCCAAACGAGATGAGGGCACTACATGTACCACAGAAGGGAAAAGCATACTGCTACCAGGCTGAAAGGCACGGGAAGGACCCTTTGAGGAAATGCCAGCTGGAAGCTGTCCATCTTGCTCAGGGTAACTAAGGCCTTGGAAGTAGTAGTGCTGATACATGGTCTCATATTGGGAAAAACATGCTGCTTTGGAAAAGTTGCGTCCACCAAACTTGGGTCTTCGGAAGTTGTGAGCTGGAGAGTAAGCCCTATGTTCCAGGCTACAGTGATGCGTGTTTAAAGCATGGTCCAAATGAATAGGCTGGTAACTTCGGATATAGGCTGGGGATGAGGCTTGGTAGAGGCTCTGTTCACCATGTCGCTCAACTGTAAGTACTGTGATAGGGTTTCCGTGAGGGTCCATGCTTGTCCGAGTGGGATATGCTGTTATCTGGTTTGTTCTGTGCACTCGGCCTGGGTAATGCACAGGCAGAATCACCCTCTGCTGCCGGCTGCGTGCTGGGTTGACGGATTCCAGACAGACTGCACCTGCATTTCCCTTCTTCTGTTCTGAATGAGAGAAATAAGAGTGGACAAGTAGAAGTAGGAGGGAATAAAAAGGAATATACTTTATGCAAGAGAGAAGGATGTTTTGTTCTGAATTCTGTTACATTATGCACACAACAGAGTTCTAAAAAAAAAGCACCAACTTTTTACACAGAAGGAAAAACAAAGGAACAGTCAAAATAAGTCAAAAGCATCTGCCTGGAAGCCTTTGAAACACTGAGTTGTATTTGCTTAAAAAGGGAAAAAAGTGAAGTGATTTCAGATACTGTTCTCTTATATGCCAAACCTTATGCTTACACAGTATTCCTGATCTTGCAGGTTAAGAGCAAGGCTAGCAGTCATTGCTCGAGTTTTCACTTTACACATTATTTTACATAAATCTGTATTAACAGAAAACTTTTTCAAGACAGAGAAAATGAAAGGGGGAGAGGGCAAGTAAGGGAAACCACGTTCCAAGTTACAACACCACGGAAAAATAAAAAACAATACATTGTCTTTTCTTTGTAATTACCAAGAGAAACCATACCCATCTATTTTACCTATTTGCCCTCTTTGCACTCAGAGGCTGACTAGCAGTGCCCTCTGCTGGGAACCGCACCCAGAACGAGGGAAAACCAGAAATGTGACCTGTTATTCCAGGGCACACAGTCATTTTCAAAGAATTTAGTCCTAACCATTTCTAGGGTTGTGTTACAATAAAGACTATGAACTGCGTGGAGATTTACAAACAGGCACAATTTCTCTTTCATGTTGTAAGCTGTTAAGGGCAAAATGAATGACACAACAGAGTGTCCATACTGTAGCACTTACCTATGATGTTATGGCGGCAGTGAGGGCAGGTATGATGCTGCAGTAGCCAAGGATCCACACATTTCTTGTGAAATCGGTGAGTGCAGGGAATGACACGCAGTTCCTACAGGAACAGATAAAGGAACATGAAAAAGTACTCCTTCCTAATGAGTGAATTTTTCACAGCTTATTCCTAGTTTTTTTCAACCTAGCTACTAAACGGTTCGATTCCTAGCCTTAAAGTGATAAGAAGGAAAAAAGATGCCATCTGTTCCAACACAGCCAAAAGCACAACAGCTAGTGATCAGCTGTCACTAAAAGAATAGTCTGCAGGCACATTAGAACTCCATGCAGATACACTACATTTCTTTAGGACACTTTTTGCTCTGTGTCCCTATGACCTAACACCTTGAAGGAGCTCATCATTAAAGTTTTCCTTAATATATTAAATAAACTTAAAAACCCAAAATCAATAGAGTCCATTTAATGATGCAACTTGCCTACAACTATTAGCAATAGAAAACACTGAGGGAAAAGCAAAAACAACATAATGTGTATGATATTTTTCCCTTGCCCAGCACTCCCATCCTTCAGCTATTATCTGTTCATGGTACCTCCTGAGCCTGCTGGGTATCTACCAGTTCAGAAACACCCAACAGATCTTTCTTCCAAGCACTGCTCAAGTCTCCTCATAAGCTCAGGTTTTGAATTTGTAACATGCTTTGGCAAGAAGTTCCACAGGGCTACTACCTGCTGGTGGAGAAACACCATATGTAGATTCAGATTGGGTCCTAGCAGTTTCGTTTAATTGCACCCAATCTTGTACTGGAAAAAAATTAACTTCCGATTCCTGTTCATGCTCTCCATTCGCTATTTTGTACTCCCTCCATCCCCAAGTAATCGAGGACTAAACAGTCCTAGACCTCTCAGTCATTTTTTTTTTTGTGCGGAAACCATTCCAAATCTTTTATCGCTTTGTGTCTGCTCTTTTCTGAAGCACCTTCATTTCCAACATATCTTTTGCGAAATGAGATAAAAAATGCACACAGTACTCAATGTGAGAGCATGACTGAACTTACACAGTAAGAAAACTTACTGTTTTCTGTTCAGTTCTTTAGACTTCCCCATCTCATTTCTTACATCTGATTTGCCTTTTTGACTGCCACAAAGCACTAATCTAATCTGCTTTCACAAAGCTATCTAAAACAGCTTCGAGATTTTGCTCCTGAACAATAATGCTCGCCTCACAACCCATCACTAATACATGTGAAGCTCTTCCCTATGTATATCACTTCATGCTGAGGTTCATGCATGAGTTTCCTGTCCAGTCAGTTTTGTACCGCCCTTCTGAAGTTCTTGTCTGCCTTCATCCCTTGCTACTCTGAATAATTTCCCATGAGCTAACGTCATTAACTTTCTGTTTGTAGCTTGTAGCACTCAAATACTGCAGCTGGTATTTTCTATTCCCCTAAAAATAACGAATCTTTTATGAATCATTTCAAAACAAAATGTCCTCAAATAATTTTTTATATAGAAGTTTAAAGCTGTGATTATTGACTGCCTCTATTTATTATTTCATCCTTTCATTGCTTCCTCTGGGTAGAACTGTGTCATAGAAGGCAAGCACTGCCATCAATGCAGAAATGGTAACTGAGGAGTCAGAAAACATTTCCTGAACCTTTTGGCATCTCTTCGTTCTCCTCCTGTGGTTTCCCAGCAGTGCTGTGTACCTGACATTTTGAAAACAAGGTGTCATCAAAGCTTGAGAAGCAAAACAGGAAATGTATCCCTTATGTCCAACAGAGCTTGCATGCACAATCATCTTAGCACAAAATTTGTTAGAAGTACCCAGAGAACTAAATGCTGAAGTAACCCTGACTTCTTTACAAGTCCTTCCTCAGAAAAGCAACTTGATGGAGGTGGCAACTTGCAGAATGAGATCCCTCACCTCTCACTATGTAGTATGGGGAAAAGCCCTTGAGATTTCTTTGGGAGCTGCAGAATGCAGTTGAGGCCAAGTTGGCTACTCAATGCAATCAGTCTGGCAAGCGGCACAACCTCAGTACACAATGTACCCAACAGCCAGCCATGTACCACAGTGCTGCAATAAACCTGCTACAATCTCAGTCCATGTTGAAGAAATCATTTATCCTTTACCTCCCCATCAATGTACTTCTCCAAGCAGATGGCACAGTCAGAGGTGGAGCTGCTACTGAGTGTGTCCAGTGCTCCACAGCTACCTTCCCGGTGTCCCTTACTTTTGGACTTAAATTTCCTGGTCTCCATTTTTTCCAGCGCTTGCACTGCAAGCCTGTTCATGGAATTCTACAACAGAAGAAAGGAAAAAAAAAAAAAAAAGAAAGAAGGGGAGGGGAAAAAAAAAAGGCAATGCTTCTGCAGAAGGTACTATAGTATAGTAGCAGAGAAACACCACCATATCAAATTAATGTATCTTACCAAATCATGTCAGGCCCAGACTAATGTACAATTTCATACATAAAGCAGAAGGTGGCTAGTTAGAATTTAGATCAGAAGCCTCATGAAAAGAATGTATGCCACATGCAGTAGTGAGAATGACAAGCAACTTTGAACTGAAACAGGATGAAGGTGCTGACAATTGGGATACACGGCAACTGCTCAATTGATAGGCAGCAACTATTCAAGGCAACATATAAGACTTGGCTGGGAACTTTTTCTGAACTGTCAATAGTGACTATAATGACCCACTATGCTCTTAACACCACATGACCAGAAGCAATACTTGAGAGAGGGATTAAAATGAAATATTATTAAATTAGCTGTATCATTTCCCTCTCCCCCTGAATTTAATCAATTGTAGAAGTTTAGGAAGGCAGTGGGTTGTTTTCATTTTACTGTAGAATTTGTCATCCCCCTTTTTAACACTGCTGGTGGCCCATAACATCTTTGGATTCCTACTCAATATGTCCAAAGCAAGAGTCCTAAGCATCTACAGTGCTCTGCATTCCTTTTACGTGTATATATTGGGCAGTTTACAACTACAGACTTCAGAGTCCATTAGCTTCCATTCTCACATTTGACAGGACAAACTCAAAATATCTCACCTCGAATCTTTCCTAACCAAACTTTTTACCTTACAAATCTCTCCCATTGACAATTAATAGATGTTATTCTATCGAAAAGAGTTGCATTTATTTTCAATCTTGATATTCTCTCCACAGTACAGCAACAAGAGCTTGGAATTCTTTAGAAGTACACCAGTGCTACTGATAATCAACCTCTGAACAACTAGAAATGTTATTCCTTCCCAATGGCTAAATGGACTGCTTCTGAACTCTTTTCATTTCAGGATTTAATTGAATGAACATCACAGGTCAATGCAGATCTTCTTTAAAGACAATTCCAATTTTTTCCAAAGGCCAACATCCATGGATAAAACACTTTCCACAAAGATGGCTATTTAAGTCAGTGTCTGGCATTTCCAAAAGTAGCAAGCAAGTTCTAGGACAAAGAGAAACTAACTTTCAGCATTCAGTGACTATCCCATTACTGTTCTTACCTGACTACGTCGCTGTTTCAGTTTGATCTTGACAAGAAGAATCAGGCAAACAAGAGACACAACCACAAAGAAGGCCAGGAAAATACCCATATCAAAGTACTCGGTGGGTTGCTTAAAAATTAAAACAAAAATATTATTTTTCCTTTCTTCAGATCATACTCAAATCTATTGTTCCTTTCTCTTCTCTAGTTTCTCAGTGGTCACAGTCAAATGTACACAGTCACAATGGCAAAAGTCAAAGTACACACTGTTCTGTTCATTAACTAGGATTCTGTATGTCACTGCAAGTGAACGAAATACATAGAATGCCAGTCACAAGATGTCAGATTTACTGTGTCTCTGAACCAATCCCACAAAAGCCAGTTTTTTTAACGGAGTGAATCACACTAACACAATTTTTCATGATTTATTGGTTTGCTTGTATACTTAAGTGAGTGAAAATCAACATTTGAATTTTCAGCGAATTGCCCACTTCTCAAATACATTTCTGTATGAAAGATGAATTCCATAAAAATACAACAAAACAAAAATGGTAATTCGGACACGGATGACCTCTAGCTTTGCTCTTCTGTAAACTGCATGTAAGGAGTTTTAAAAAAAAAACCTAGAAAAACTATTTTATATTACAATTACAAATATCAGATACCAAATAATTAACCCATGTTTAAAATACCACACAGAATTATTAGTTAACACAAGGCAGACTACCTTACAAACCTGAATTACCACGAGTGTGCAATAATTAAGTTATTTAATTAAGAAAAAGGAAAACTTCTAGTATATAAAATTTTTATCCATTTATATATTCAAAAGAATCCTTATGAAAGACAGCGGATGTCACATTGTGTATTCTACACTTCTGTCAAGCGTAGCTGCTTGTCCACAGTGCAGTTGCTCAATTTATTTAGGTCAACAGAATTTCACATGTATTAATGCTCATGGGGAGCATCAGAACATCTTCACGTGCAGTGCAGTTAGCAAGCACTGCATGAAGTAACAGCAGTGTAATACCTAGATAAAGTTTCTTAAAGTCTCACCCGTGGGGGGCGATGCTGAATCCTTGCTCGTGCCACTTTCTGCTTGTTAACTATGTTCATTAGCTTGACAGCATCAGCACCCTTCACATACACCACTGGTCTCTTCAGAGGGTCCTCTGAGCCCTGGTTCAGCTAGAACAAAAAAATAATCTACTTAAAAGGCACGTTGCAGGAAAACTACCTCTCTTTTGGACAATGGAGAGAAGAGGAAAGGAATATGAATGTGGAATTGATTGAAGCACCAATTGTTCTCTTCTAGCACAGACCTTAAGTATTCCACAGAGTTAAACCTGAATTAAACTTTTGACTTAAGCTGCTGTTTTTTTACTGACCAAAACTAAGATTAAGGATAAGAAATGTTATTTCTGAACAGCAGCTTTAACTTAACCGTATTATGTTCTGGTGCATATATTATACTGTAATAAATTAAACCTCATAATGAAGAAGGATAAAAATCTGCACATTCAAAAGAAAATGACCTTGCTACATTTTCTGAACCTTTTGTTATTTCAACTTTGTAGTTATATTATTCGCATACAAATTTTTTCGGCTTTCTGAACAGTCTCATGTCAGAGTCCCGTCTTTCAGACTCTTTGTACCTAACCAATTTACTGAAGACTGTAATTTCTGCTGTTTAACTCAGCAAACTCATTCAAAGAGTTATCTGGGTTCTAGCAACCACTAGAGCTATTGATTGCAGGATGGGGGCCTCAAAGACTAAAGCATATGAGTAGATAGCTTAATTCACCCTGAAACTTCCTTCCAGGTGCAGCTAAGTTTTTTTGAAAGGCCAAATCATAGCATCAGAAAATAATGTGGGTGGGAAGGCACCCCATGAGTCCAACCTCCTGGTCAAGGCAGGGTCAACTATGACATCAGACCACGCTGCTCAGGGCTTTATCCAGTCAGATGCTGAAAACTTCAAGTGTGGAGACTGCGTAACTTCTCTGGCCAACAAATCCAGAAAAACAATCTGCTAAATTACATACCAGAGAGGGGAATAACAAGACAAGAGAATTGTTCTGTTACAAAATGGCACCAACATGATAAACTCAAATAGCTTATTCTAACCCACAAGAAAAATCCTAGTATAGAGGCTGGTTGATACAAAACAAGCAACGCACTGACGAGCAGATGGAAATGGTACAGGGGAAAGGAATGAGATGACAGGAGTGTGAGCAAATTGAACAAGAGTAGCATATGGTAGAGATACCATATCTACATTGTTGATATCTACCTGTTATTTCTGGCTAAAACATGTAGAAATTACCAAATGACTGGTCTATTATCCTGCTTACAAAGTACTCTACTTAATCTGTCCAGATGATGGTGACAGATTTCATTGAGACTTTAAAACAGATTCTTCCTAGTATTTGACTGGGCTTCTGAGAACACCGATCAAACTATTTTTAAGACAGATGTCTTCTGAAGAGCTAAAAACTAGCTGAAGTACTTGAATCCAACCCAGGGATCCTACGTGTCTAGAAGGCTTGCTAGCCTAAGGCCAAATCCAATCACTGTCCATACGTTCCCAGACATATATTCTCCCTCAAGCTTTCTTGTCTAAAAAAGAATTCACCTGATTCCTCAGTAGCTTTTGCACACTGCCAGACTCTTGCTAAATATGATGCTCTGGGTGCTTTTACTCCTCTTCTATGCAAAAGTAAAACTAAGAAACAAATCAGACTTCACAGAGCATTTCTAAAAATAAAAATTTCATTCTTACTCTACAGCAGAAGACACTCATATCAATGGGAATAAAACCCACAAAATCTGTATGTAAAGCCCTCTCACTTGGTAGCTAATTCTGCTACCAAATTGTCCGAGGACAATTCTTCTCCTGCTCAGGCCTGCTTCTTAGTCCACTGACTGGCAGGAAGGATTGGCTTTCATAATACTCCACTCCTCCCTTTCAAAGCACTCTCCCTTAGTTGTTCTATTGCTTGGTAACAAGCATACCTGGGAAATCTTCCTAAACAGCTCCCCTCAGTGTCTTAGGATACTTCCATTTGAATCAAAGATACTCCAGATTAACTCATGCCAGTTTTTCCTCCACTGTTATCTGTCATTGTTTTCCACAATTCCATTGCGAGTGCCAAAATGGTATTTGTTTTAAAGACAAATTAATTAGTATCGCCTGATGCCAAGGGTTCTGAAGACTTTGGCTGAGAATCAAAATGCATGAAACACAAGTGTCCAGAGCAGCATGAGAAGGGAGCCAATCAAGTAACTCTTACACCTAGAGTATGAAAGCTAAGCCTAGTCTTTCCTTCCCTGTTGGTGAGTGTTTGCATAGGCTGCTGCTGTGTCCTCTAATAGAGTCTACTTTGTCAGCTACTGCACTAAGCCACTAACCTCCTTCCATTTTATTGGTATACCCAAAATATTCAATTCCACTGGACTAGTTTCCCAGCTATTGGAGACAGTTGCACCCAGTTTATTATCAAGAATCAAGGAAGGACAGCTGTTGCTGGTAGAAGGAAGAGAGCAAGAGGCAGTAACTCAGCTTCTCAAGTTCAGAGCAGGGTGGCTGAAAGTTAACTGGAAGCTGTAATACACAGAAAAAATTGGAAAAAGACAGATTACATCTTTGTGCAGATAATTTTTCTGTGTATAAAAGGGGAAAAAACATCCCTGAGAATGTTTGCAAGATCAAGGCTGTAGCCTTGATGCACATGCAGAGCACAGTTCTCAAAGCATCCATTGCACAGGGTCTGCATTCCTTTCTCCAACAGATGCTCATTTCAGAATTAAAGCCAGCTTTTTAAATGTAAACACTGATGGTCTCTCTTTCCCCCAAGAAATTCAGGCTGCACTTAAAAACATTCAGCTTCACTTGTTCCTGCTGTAGCAGAAACAGCAGTTTTGTTTCAAGACAAAACAAAACCAAATGCAGACTATTTTTGTGCTTGTTAGTTTCTTCTCTCCACTCAGATAACTCAGAATTGGCTGGAAGGATCTTGTCAAAGCATTTCACAGAACTATTACCTCACCCATTTCAAATGAAACGATGGAAGTTGTACCAAGATCCCCAAAAAAGAAAAGCCCTGCTTGCCCACGAAATATGCGGGCCAGAAATTATCAGTTGTGAACAAGAAAATGTTTGTAAGTTTTCTAAGAATCTTGTTTAGAACCAGGTTTGAAAGCCATTCTGCAACCTCAAAAATATCAGCTGCTCAAAAAAACTATCAATCACAAGCTGGGTAGGGCCAAACACCCTGTGTTTTGTACACAGAGCTGGGCAAAGAAAACCTCCTTGACTAGATAATGGGCCACAAAAAATTTGCCTCCATCCTTTCTCAAAACCTCAATCCCAGACCTGGATTCTAGTAAAGGCTAGAAGGAAAGTATAACTCCCCAAACTTTTCTCTTTCTACCACATTCTCAACACCTCCATTGCTTCTTGCCTGCCAGAAGATGAGCAGGAAAACCACAGCACCATGTTACCCAGGGTCAGTAGCTGCGTGTCTTGAAGCAGGTGTGCTCTGAGACCTGTATGCTCTCAAGTCTTGACTCAGCAACACTAAAAGAACCCAACAGAGGCTGTAATAAAACTAGGCTCCCTTCTTCATACCTGATCAATGGCATCTGGGTTTTCAGAAACATCAAAGATGACGGCTGTGGCTCCTCGCTGTACTGCTCGTTTTGCCTGCAATAAGAAAGACAGCATCCTCAGTCCCACCCCAAAAGATGACTTCTTACCTCAAAAATTACTCCCTCTCCTCATCTCCAGATAGCAAATTTAACATTTTGTGTTTCTGTGTAGTTAAAACAAACGACAGAGTAATTACAAACAGAGGAGCTCCTGAACCAGCATGGAATGTAGTTAAACTTCACTATAGCTTCTACAATCTCCCTGTCCCTTCCTTCTCAAAATCCTCCTTCAACAAGCTTTTAAAGGAATTCAAATGTGATGTAGACCCTCTAAAGGCTTTAAATATCAGATTTTCTAAAAATTAAATTATGTTCTTTTTCTCCACATCACTTGGAAGCACCATTAAAAACAATCTTCCCTGTGATATGAGGTAGAGTGACAAGATCACTAGTGTAGAAAATAAAAGTGGACCAGGTTCTTTAGACCTGCTCAGTGTCATTCTCACAGTCATGACAAAGTCTAGCATATCACAATCCTTGCAAATAGTGCCTCAGAAAATACTGCTGTTTCTGACCATTAGAGGTCAGAACTGTTGCATACAACACTTCTTACGCAGGTAAGATCAGACCTATTTAAGTGCATGGCTTTTCATCAAATATGCAGTCCAAACCTGGAATTACCAACAGCACAGAGGAGATATTAGAACATATTAAAATCCTCTGGGATAGAGGAAACAGTATTTTAACCGCCAAGGCTAAGACAGGGTATTTTCACCAGTTTCTGCCACTTTACCACTGTATGTTCTGTTCAAATGTTGCTCAATGGCTCCACAGAGCAAGCGTTCCCAGTAACTTTTCAAAGCTGTTACTGCCTTTGTTGGATGCAGAATGCAAGTAACTATTTCTCCAAGCTATGACAGCTATCACCATCACAGTACTAAACGGGACGACACTGGCTCTTCATAGAGACTAGCAGAACCTGAACTTAAATTGAGATATAGAAGAAACACATGATAGAAGTGATAAATTATGAAATATTACTCAGTGATTTCCAAGAAGAATGTTGGCCAGTACAGAGATGTTAGTCTGAACACCTACAGGTCACTTTCTTTGCTCTACTTTTGTATTTTGTTTTTATTTTAAACCAACCGACCCCATCAGACAGTGCATGAGGGAAACCAACTCCCCAATGGGGTCTCTTTCTCAGCCCACCAGGTATTTGTCCCCTTTGAAGTAAGTCAGCACACCTGGCTAATCACTAATAGCTGTTGAGGAGGAAAAGTTAAAAGGAATCTACTACACATTCTCTGAGGCAGTGGCCCTGAGGTGAAAGCTCATCCAGGTTTCTGTAGAAGGCACCCTTTACAGACATGCAGCGCTTGTAGAACTGTTCAGGCCATTTAGATTGTTCTTTCAGGATGGTCAGTCAACAAGCAAGGCACTTTGATCTCTAAAGATATTTTTTAAGAGACTTTGCAGGCTGGTTCAGAAAAAAACCCTTAAGTTTCTGAATGCACTGAATGTGCAGTATACAGCGCAGCAATTCATAAAGTTTCCACCACCAAGATGTAATCTGTATTCCTTACTCTGTATTGCAAAATGAGATGTTAAGAGATTAAAAGTACCAACTGAGTTAAAAAATCGTGCTGCAGAAGACAACAGCAAGCGGGGTGAACCATCTGCCACCTCCCCCCTTCTGCAAACTTGCTGCGCTAGTTTAGCTCCGGCCAACTGCAACCAGCAGTTTGTGCCAGGCCCCAAGCAAAGGAAGGCTCCAGCCATCTTTCACCAGTAGTTCTCACTTGTCACTCGTGGCTGTTCTGCACCCTCCCCATTCCCCTTCCCGTGCCACCCCAGCACAAGGCTCTCCACCCTCACACCAGCTCAACTCAGCTCAGCCTCGAGGCGGAAGCCGAAGATCGGCCAAGCACAAAGCGCCCCAGTGGAGCGCGTGGGTCCTGCCCGCCCCATCCCCAGAAGTGACGTCCTGCCCAGGGGCACGAAGGGTGCTCGGCAGCCATAGGGAGAACTGGGAAACAGGCATTTTTTTGTCCTTGCTAGGGTTTAAATCCTGATCCCAGAGAAAGAGAGGATGTGCCCGCTCTTGGAAAGCATACGTCAGTCTCTCACTCGCATCACTAGGGAGCCTGGCACTGTGCTAAAGAGACTTGTTCGCACAACGGGACCTCAGCAGCACAGGCCGGTCATGAGGCGACCCTCCAGCTCCCGAGCACCCTGGGCAGGAATGACCAGGCCGCCCGTGGTGGCAGGGTGGGGAAGGTGGGTGCCGCAGCTGCACGCTCCACGGTGCCTGCTCCAGCGCTCCCGGGCCTCTGGCTCCACGGCGCCTGCTCCAGCGCTCCCAGGCCTCTGGCTCCGCGGCTTGGCGGCAGCCTGCCTGACCTTCCAGGTTTCACTGGCGAGAGATCAGAGAGCAGCCGCAAACACACCACAGCCTGCCACTCCTCCTCGCTGCTCCCCCCTTCCTCCTCCTCCCCTCCTCAAGCTCGTTTTTAAAACCACTGCGCTTTGTTGAGGAGCAAACAAGCGCGAGCAAGCTGGGGCCTGAGCGCAGACACTTCTTTTTCGTCTGGTATTCACCTCCTTCCCTTCAGTTCAAGATGGCAGCTGGCGGGGGCCGGAGCGCACCTGGGGCTGGCAGCCCTGCTGCCTGCCTCAGAAAGCCGGTCAACTCTGGGGAGGCACCCTGGAAAGCCTGGCTGCCACTACACCCCTTCTTCCTCACCCCGCAAAAAACAGTAGGATAATTAAAGCCAAAACATCTTTGAGAATACCCTGTCCACTACTCAGTAATCAGGACAGCTCAAAATAACACAGCAATGTAAGTCCCACTTAAAATAACACCAGTCTATAACAGGCATGTGACTTTTTCATTTTGGCCTATTCAGCATGTAAAGACTGCCCCTAAATCATTTTTCTAAGTAAAGTGGCCAAAACCTAGATCAAAAATAAAGACACACGTGGGACGAGGGGGAAGAAAAAAAATTGTACTGGTACACGCTTTACCTTCACAATACTCGTGGCAAACAAAACAGGCATTTCCTCAATTCAATTCCCATGCAACTGAGAGAAGGCAGTAAAGGTGCCAGGCATATCCCTTTCGGAGATTATTTGTCTTCTGTGGTTTAAAACAAAATTACTATCACTACATAGCAGTATTCTTCCTTTTTTGTAAAGAGTAATAAAAAACAAACAAAAAAAAACGGTAACTGCACTTCTAGTAATTCAAATGATTGCTCTCTGTTCATAGTGACAACAACCTCCCAGGCGTTCTTTGCATTCAGAGTCGGAAAGCCTACACTATTACAGAGCAACGGACTCTGACGTGTTCTTTCTACATGGCCACTATATGCAAGCACCATCATCATAACTTTTACTTTTTCTGTAAAGTGCTCCCACATCCCGACTGGAGCTCCAGGAAGTTACACATGTTCTGTGTAGATCAGCAGCTAACTAACTGCCCGACATGTAGAAACACAAGGCTCAATTGTGCAAACACACTGATGTAGAGAGGACTAAGCATGTCTTGGTCCTAGAAGCAGGACTGGAAATGACAACAATCTTCAGCAAGCCCTGTATTGTCAATTCAAAAATTCTTTTGTCCTTAAGTACAAACATAATAAAACACAAAATATAGGTTAGATGTAAGTAGGTCTTCATAGGATACAGACAAGTTACCTGGCATCTTATTTGATAAGCACAACCTTAACTCACTGTCTGAAATTATTGTAGTTTTTGTGGAAGGGAGATTTTTTTACACTATTTTACAGGGGGCAACTGACTGTTATTGGCATTTCCCCCTTGTGTTATATGTAATGGTGGTGTAAAAATAACAATGGTTTGCACTTGCAACCTATGCTACTATGTCTAAGTGCAGTGGTTGGAAACTGCCTTACTTTAAAAAAAAAATCCTCTCAAACTATTTCTGGTAGAACACAGCTGGTCAGCAAGGGAGACCTAACAAAAATCTGGAAGTATACAGCTGAAAAAAAGAGAAATTCCTCAGTTTATTCTTCCATTGTTAGGAATGAAGTTCCAAATGTGGAAATTTGTTACAAAACCACGAGTCCTCCTGTATGCATCTCTTGTCATGATCATACGCGGTAATCCCTGCAATATGAAGAAGGTTCATGCTGTTCACACAGCAGCCTTCTTTTCCTGTATGAACTCTAACCAGCTCCCTGACTGTGTGCTCCCCAGATGGGGAAACTGTAAGACAATCACAGCCTGAATCTCATATTGCTCATTGCATGAACTCAGAGATAGCTCTGATTAAGTTAAGTTTCCTTTTCCATGTATTACGCCCACCTTTAGGCCCCACCAATACCAACTACAATGCAGTGGGAAGGCCCTCACAGGTCTGGACAGTTACAGAAGGAGGTAAAAAGCATCTCCAGTTCTGGTTTTCAGATCTTCTGAGCAGTGGTAACTCTTGCAAATTCCTTTCACAGACCGATTTCAGAGTGCCCCAATAAATGCAGCTACAGTACTGTCAGGAGCACAGGGGCCAAAGAGAAGACAGAGCAACAACAAGCTTTTTCAGTGGATGTAGATAACAGATTGGCCATGCAGAAGTAGCCTATACTCCACAACTGGAGGAGAATAAATCTTTAGAATTGCTGAAAGGGCAAAGAAGCAGGAAGAGGTCCCTTTACAGCATGATAACATCATGGAGTGGTGATACAGGCAGAGCAAACCACCTGATGAGGAATAATATTTGTATTTAAAATTTATCCTAGCAATCTGCAGTAACAAAAGCAGTAAATGAAATGCAGAGAATTTCAGTCCATAACTGCACTGAACATTTTGCAGCAATGTATTGCAACTATCACAGCAGCAAATGCTAGAAGCAGTACTGCAGTATCCATTCCAACCTCTTCTTGTGTACTGATTTTACTTGTATACAGATTCAGACTCCATTTGAACTAATGGGTTTTGTGTGTTTGTTTCAAGTTCTGTGATATTTTACCCCCTGAAAGTACCTGCAAAATCAGCTTAGCTCAGAACTGCATATAAATCCCTATTCTTGTTGGT